CTAAAGTGTGTGAAAACTTCAAGGAAAAATATTGATAACTTTCCTCAAAAATAAACATTTTATCGGATGAAATTTGGCAACTCTTGAATGTTTATACGGCGTTTTTCCTCAGCACAGCAGAGTTGCCGTCACGATTTTGTCATGGATTGAAGATGAAAAAAAAAAAGCTCAAGGATTACAAAGGAGTGCTTCAATTCTTATCCTGTTGAATAGTTTATTGGCAGAAATTCACTCTTCAATTTTCAGTACTATGTGATTTTGTTGTATCCCAGATGAAGGAATGTATCTCGATTGTATTGTTTCAGTATTTCTTCAGAACATTTCATTTTTTCATATGAGAGGCATCACATGAATTTACCAGAAATTTCCAGAGGTTGTTTTTTACACTTTTGTGTGTAAAGACACTTTAAAAAATTTAGACAAATTCATGCAACGGTTCAGTTGAAAAAATAAAATTATGGTAGGAATAACGAAATAACGCAAATGAAATATATTCCATTGTACAGGCGACAATAATGACCTTACAGCCACTTCCTTGCAAAACGATTGAAAATCAGAAACACAGAACAATAATCATAGCTAATCTTAGGAGAAGACCTTTGTTCCTTCGGATCGTTTCCATCCTTTATAAAAAATCAGACTGATATTGAAGGAGCCACTTACTTAAATTCTCGTTTTGGTTTTCCAGGCTGTTTACTTTGCTCCAAGACTTCATCCACACTTTTGTAAACATAACGGACTTTCTTGCCTTCCTCTCCTTCCTTCCGCCACTGAGACACTCTTTCTTCCACTTCTCCATCTTTACCTTTCTTGCTTTTATCAGTCTTCAATTCAGCTATCTTGGCTGCTTTCTCTGGTCCATATGCGCCTAGGGAAGAAATGAAAGAAAATGGCATAAAGAGCATGTGGCGATATAGATGATAAGAACCTGATGAATTACCGTTACCTGGTTTGCCCCGTTTTTTGAGCCTGCCTTTTTCTTTGGACTTTATGAAATAAAATTACAAGTTTTGCAGGGGACCTTCGAAAAAATTTTTAGGACTTTGGCAGTGTCACACTCCTGGTGTGGTGTCTGACTTACAAATTGTTTCATCACGTAATCGTTTTAACTTCACTGAAGAGTTGATAATCGGTTCCATTTTACAGCGTTTTAGATCATGAGAAGGTGGTGAAATTTGTTTAATGGAGGTGAAAATGATTTCAGAGATTTTTTTCTTCCTTTTTTCCAGAAATTTATTGATAAGCTACAATGATATGTTCGTGAGAATGATAAATAAATGAAAAATGTGCAAAATTTAAGCAATCCTAAGGTGTTGACCATCAAACGCAAGGCATACATTTTTTGGGAGTGACAGTGTCGAGCGATAATTTGTTCTTTTTTCAAAATTAATTTCTTTTTGAATTTTTTGCAAAGATCAGAGAAAACAACGATCATCTGTAGAAAGGCTGCTGGAAAATACAAAAGAGTAGACAAGAAATTAAGTAAAAAAACTGGAACATTTCAAAATAGGTGCATTACGATCACATTTTCAGCAAGAAAACTAAAGAAAAATGAATTAAAGATCCGCTGTTAATCGGAAACCAAGACTTATAGATCAGAGAAAATCAGAGTCAAAGGACTTACCAATTGCCCCTCTGCCTTTCCTTAGCTGAGCTTCGATGGGAGCTTGGATACCTTGTAGATTTTTACCAAGACCTTTGCCGGGTTGGAAACCCATCTGAAAAGGTACAAAAATTACTTTGAAAATTGCTTTGAAACATAGATCGGGGGGAACACAAAAACAGACATCACTAATTAGGAGGAGACTGTCTACAATGAGCCATTCTGAAAAGAACCTCGAGTTGTACAGACAGATTTGGCTAAATTTTAGTCATTTGGCGGTAGGGTTTAGGATGATTTTATCCTTAAGCCCTGATGCGAATTTAAAATGAAATGTCAAATAGACAAAATGGTTGTCTTGAACGAATGGAACAATTTCCATTTGACATTGGAGATAGGTCCACTTGATGGAACAAGATATAAGCCAAGAGTGAATTTAGCAGAAAGGACCTGTCTAGGGAACTCTAAAATAATCAAAGTAGTTTTGGAGTTGATGGTGGCTCGAGAGGTTTTTGCCAATGCCTCTCATTTCCGGCTACTTTTATACATTTCTTCCCCTCTTGATTTCATACATGTCCCTATCTAACTCTGGTTACCACCCGTAAATTATTGAACATGCGTCTTTTTAAAAAACTCAAAATGTAGAAAGTCCTATACACTGCTCATGAATAAAAGGAGAGGTAATACAATGGGTTAGTTGCTCTAATCTCAGAATTGTGTTTTGATTCTTGATTCTTGTAGATCAACTAAAAATAATTAGATCCGTCCAAACTGCAACTTTCTACATTCAATATTGACCGAGAGAAAACCCTTTGAAAAGTTGGGTTTTTGACGTCATCCACCAAGGTAGTGACACCCTTAGTTTCTTCCACCTTGCTCTTATCCGCGTCTCACATAGAGTAACCGGTGCTAATGTGTGTCTCCCTGAGTGATGAAAGTAAGGTGGAAGACACCATGGGTGGGAACCAAGGGTGGAAGAAACCAAGGGTGGAAACCAACTACCGCAGTGGGTGATGTCAAAAACTCAACTTTTCAAAGGGCAATATCTCGATTAATATTAAACGTAGAAAGTTGCAGTTTGGACGGATCTTAATATTTCTAGTTAATCTACCAGAATCAAGCATTAAAACACAATTCAATGACCAGCACAACTGACCCATTGGACAATTCACATTTGAATAGTGTCGATTAGTGTCAATCGAAAATGCCCATATATTACTTCAGACTTTATATCTGATAGTATCTCACATCAACATTATGCTAGAGCGGCCTAATTCTATGAAAGGGAGCACTTGGTAAGTTGCATAACAAAACAACAAAGCGGGGCCATCAACCCTTTTCTGGACTTTTCGGTTCCTTAATAACACCATAGAGGAGATAATAATCAACTGACCTGTAGCATGAGTTTGCCTCCGATTCCTTTGTTATGTTTCTCCCAATTGCCAATACCTTGATTCATAAGTGTAGGATTTGTAGGAGCCCGTTTCTTCCGTAGGCCTGCCGTTTCTGCATCAATTAATTTTGATGTGCTGAATGCTGGTGACTCTTCTTCACTGTAATAGAAACAGGATGGAATTATTAATTCTTCTAGAACTGAGAATCCTCACCTACTATTTGCTCAAAACATCCTCTTTTTTAACTAATAACTTCAAACCATCGAAACTCAGGTGCGGTTTGACATCTGTGCTAAAATTTTCTTAGGGATTGTCTCTGAGTGCTGATGCTTACAAACATGAGCCAAAGGGGTTTCATTGCATTGCAACGTTCTGAAGTTTCATTTGATAGTTTAATATTAACTCAAGCACAGCTGCAAATTTTCTTTGAGATTTACTTGATGAAAATTTCCTGAAATAGGTATTTGATGTAAAACATGCATACTACTGTCAAAACATAAAAAAATAAGTTATGAGGTGAATTTTAGAAACATTGCAATCAAGCCATCTGACTCTCATCGGTTTAAATTATGAGTTTATCAGCAAGTCCCTTTCGTCCATCGATTGAAAATAAGCATATTGATAGCACTGGCAAAATGATCTTCAATTTGAACCACTTATATACTCCTGCATTGTGAGGGTAGAATTGTAGCTATTTTAATACAAACCTGGAGGAATCTCTTCTTTTGGGCGAATCGCGAGAGCTGCTACTCTTGCTTGAACTTTCTGCTTTGATAGCTTTATCCTTTCCAGCCTGCTGAACACCACCAGCGATAAAACTAACAGGAGCTGTATAATTTTTGGGCTGCCTGCCAGTCCCTTTGAAACCAACCATTGGCTCACCATCATCGCTGCCATCTTCATCATCAGCCCAAATCCCTGAAAAGTTGCTTTAGTATTAAAATCGTGCTACTGATCAGAATGTGACAATGTGTATTCAGAATGTGCCTAGCCATGATGTTTGTATTCCTAAAGCTTTGTTCATAGTGTCCCCTGCCAAACAAATTTACGAATTTTTAGACTGCAGGAGAAGAACCGCCATCTTGAGACTTGCATTTACCTCACTCGTAAAAGTGACGTTAGACGATCTTCTATTTTGGTCCTAGAGGTGCTCTGACTATTCGGCATGGACTCAAAATAACTGTAGAAACACTTGGAGTTTTTAATATTTTAATTTTGATATGCTTCCTTGAAATCTTGCTAGTTCACAAACCTTGTAATTTGAAAAAAACCCCTAGTCTCTCAGTTTAAAACTGGCAAGCGTGCAATCAGCAAAGATTTATACAGTCCATGCCAACTATGTTTACACACTTTTCAAGTGAGAAAGATACTCAACTAGAGCCTGTTTCAGATAACTTGTTCTTAAGGTGATTCGATGGACGCCATATTTTGTGTCAAAGCGGCATGCGATATATCGCATCAATTGGTTCCATTTTTACAGCTACTCGTCATTTTTCTCCAATGTTGAGATCGCAATTCTGTTGTCAGGAGACTAAAGCACACTCACTTACCAATTTTAACAAAGAAATTCAACGTAAAAAAGGCGTGGTTTTTTTAGAGAGAAAACATCGCATTCGATACTGATATCGAAACTGCACTCGAATGCGATATTTTCTCTCTAAAAAACCACGCCATTATTACGTTGAATTTCTTTGTTAAAATTGGTAGGTGAGTGCTTTAGTCTCCTGCCAACAGAATTGCGATCTCAAAATTGGAGAAAAACGATGAGTAGCTGAAAAAATGGAACCAATTGATGCGATATATCGCATGCCGTTCTGACACAAAATATGGCGTCCATCGAATCACCTTAATTGCTGTACAAGCGGAATAAGAAATTCTGCATTCTGGGTACACAGCAATAAGGGACAAGTTATCTGAGACCGGCGCTATCTTGTTTTTCGTACTTCCTTTCAATGTTGAAATGGAAACAGCAGATCATGGGACTTTTTTTTTATCTGTGCAACACATGAAATGCAATGGTTTGGGATCTTTGCTGTTCGGACCGGTTCAACCGGCCTCAACCCACTTCCGAAGAACTCCTCCACCTCCTACCTCCACTGGAACAGACGGAACGCACCGGAACTGCAAGTGAAACGGAGTAAAAAAGATACGCATTCCGTAGTGATCCTCTGCAGTTCTAATAAAAAAAGCCCGCATCCGTCCCATTTAAGAAGTGCGCTAACTTGATTGTCATGAACTTATGTAAGTAAATCGAGAAAATTGTATTCTAATTAGAGTAATACTTACCATAAATTCTTTGATTTTTACTTATCCTTCCACGGGGTCGATTGATGTTAAATTCATTATCCAGATCATAATCGGTAACTTCAAAACTTTCCACTTCGTTGTCCGACATTCTGATATGATTTATTTAAAACTAAAACTGGGTAATGTCAGGCAAATGCCAGGTTTTCAATCGACTTGAATCATGCTTAACTAACTTCAACCGATGAATTTAAAGATCCAGAAATTGAAATACACGCGTATTGACGACATCATACGAAATTATGCGGCTCCAAACCAAAACAATACATCGCTATGGATACATCGATCAAAACCTAACCTGCACAAATTGGTTCAAATTGCTACATTTTCCGTTGCATTTTCCCAATTATTCCTCTTTTCGAACAGACGGAATCTTAACCGCAAATTCTGAACCAGACGCTTTGATTGGTCCAGAGCGGTTCATTCCAATTATTCCGAGTTGAACCAAAACAAGCGGGAATTTCAAATAATTCCGGATATCCTGTCAACCAAATCGTTTCCGTTTCCGGTAAAGCGGTGTTGTCAGTTTTATTCATCAAATGCTCGTGAAACTGACAACACTGTTTACCGGAAACGGAAACGATTTGGTTGACAGGATATCCGGAATTATTTGAAATTCCCGCTTGTTTTGGTTCAACTCGGAATAATTGGAATGAACCGCTCTGGACCAGTTAAAGCGTCTGGTTCAGAATTTGCGGTTAAGATTCCTTTTGTTCGAATAGAGGAATAATTGGAAAAATAGGTTGTAAAAAACTTTTTACACGCTGTTGCCAGATACCTGCATGTCAACAAGAGAAGAGGGGATAAGAAGAAGAATGAACGTTTGTTTACAGTCATCCATCTTCTCTCCCGAGGCTGGAATTTCCTTTGATAAATTGAGTGATAACGGGAGATAGAATACGCCCTTTCCCCACAAACTTGTTCTGTATATCTTGAAAAAGTGCAAAAATTCATCTGGTATCGACACATGTACGAGCAGCCAACTTACCCTCTCATAGACAACTCTCAATCATGGACAACTCGAAAGCAGGTAAATCAGTCACTCAGGGTATTTATCTTAGGTGATCCTTTAGCCATTGAAGGGCATCTCTACGAATGAGGAATGCTATAAGAAGTTACTGGCTAACTTACCTCAATTCTGCATCACCAAGTGACGACTGACCCTCATTGGTAACTTGGTTAATCTGCGATGAATATCGATCATCCTCTCAGGAAATTTTAATCTAGCGAGTCTCGTAAGTCAATTTCAAAGCAGAATTTGACATGCCGTCACCACCACAGTTACAGGTGGTTGAGATGCAAGTCTACTGTCCGATATAAATTGAACCAATCAAAATGTTTTTTAGGGAATTCTCTTCATCTTCCATTAAATTGAGTATTAATTCAGCTATGCAATTTACCAAATGCCCATCAAACGTTCTATTAAGCATCTCTTTTTTTGTAACCTATTTACTGTACCACAACTTCTCCCAATATATAATACTCAGATTATTTGCCGCTTTTATTGCCTAGCTGCTGCGAGGCTAATTGGAGCACATCAAACACAAGGCGGATAAAGAATGGTGGTCGCATTTCGATTTTGGCTGCCATCTTGAGGATGTGTGACGTGCAGAGGGTACGGGCTTTTACCGCGCGATTTGAAATGTACCCGAAGTGTACCCGATGCGATGCCGCGGCGCGAGGCTCATACAACTTCCAAACGGAATTATGAGTTTTCCTTCCTGATGAAACGCTTTCAGATCGTAGTCTGAGTTGAAATTTTTACGAAGAATTTGCAAGGAAGTTACAATCATTCTAATGATTAATATTTCTGGCTGAAATTTGTGTTTAAAGAAATGTACCCGATGGGCTCGTTCCTTCACGCACATGTGCAACTTTCTGACGAAACTGGACCTATCATTTTGGACTTAGTATATTTCGGATTTTTGAGAGCTGTAATGCGGTAGTTTTTCCTTAGAAATTTGGAAATAACGTCCAATCATTCTTCTTTTTGATGCTTCCAGGAGAAATTTGTACTTTCGGAAATTTGGGAGACAAGTGTGAAAATTGGAAAAACGGAGAGGGGGTCGGGGATTTCTAAAAAACAAAGGGAGGACTCCCCCCAGATAAGGGGGTTCGGGGGATCCCCCGAAAAATTACATTGATAATCAGGTACCCATGGAGAAAATAAGAAATATTAAAAAAATAGAAAAAATAAAAAAAATAAATAAAAAAAAAAAAACCTCTCACGGTTTTTAAATTATTTACTGATAAAGATAGCAAAATAAAATACACCGCAGTAATTTCACTTTAAATTCGGGCTATCAACGCCAGAAATACTTACAATGATAAGTGACTACACAATACCTTGTAGCGTTAGAGTACAGCGTAAACCTCAAACCCCCTAACTCCGCAGTTGGGTTTGTTTACAATCGTGACGTCAAGAGGGTACGAGATGCGACCACCATTCTTTATCCGCCTTGCATCAAACAGAGGAGAACCAAGTCACATTAGCCATTGTCAAACTTTATCGAATGGTTTATATTTCCTCCATTGGTCTGCAAATTTTTCAGCAGGCAGTGCTGAGGTTTGAGCAATAGATAGAGCGGGTAGATGACCTGGCAAAATTTTCTAGAGCCTGTACCCACTAATGATCATGCCCTCAATTTTTCTGTTTTTCTTATACAGCCAGCGAAGTCGTCAAATTGCAGCAGCATTTAAATTTACTGAAAGAAGAGTATGTCAAGCTTCAGTCATACAACGCAGAACTTGAGAGAAAGTATGCTGTCAGCTCTGCATCCGTTGAAAACGGGAATAAAAATAGTTTTGTTGCAAGACTACTTAAAACCGTATCGGGCCTGTACGACACATCTCTCTACAGGTAAGTGTATTCCAACCTTTATCTAGGTTCACCGTTTTTTCCACCAAAATTATTCTTGTACGGCCTTTTTTGTAGGAAATTCCCAGGCTTTATTTTCTAACACTTTATTTAACCTCTCATCTGTGGACTGGACCGATGGCTTAAGTAAAAGATGCATATGCTAGATTGCAATGATGCAAGTCTTCGAGTATATTTTATTTTTTTAAAGAAAACGAATTCAACAGTTTTCCTTAAAATTCTTTGTGGATTGTATTCACTCTTTCAAAAATATTGAAATTAAATTTCTAGAAGATATTTTAATTAGTTGACAGATATTTTAAGATATTTTAATCAGTCTTTTTGATATCTTTATCTCCTCATTTGCCTTTGTTTTGTTTTTTTATTTTTATCATTTTGTTTTTGATTTGTTTCAGTGATCTCAAGATAAAGCTACAAGATAAAACTGTTCCAGCCCACAAATTCGTTCTTGCTGCTCGAAGTGACGATTGGAATGTAGCCTCTTTACCGGATACAGAATGTTTAGGTAGAAAGTTCTCCTCATAGGAGCTAATTCAATATCTCTTATTTTTGGGAAAATCACAAACATCAGAGACAGCCGCAATTCAAAATCCTCTCCATAAAACTAATAAACTCCTCTCTTCTGTTCAGGGCGTTGCCTCGAATGACAGCAATTTGCACAATAATAGAAATCTACTCGTTTAACAATTTTAAAAGTGCAATAAATGTATATCAGTTCTAACACAGTTTTTCTGTCTTAAGCAGCGATGTAGAAGAAATTTTGTGTTTGTTGACGGAAATTGACAAGATAAAGCAAATAAAAACAGGAATGGAGTTATCTGATTGACCAGTTTTACCATTCGTTCTTGTTGTGCAGTTTTGATGAGAAATTAAGGCACCTCTTTAGTTGCCGATGGTTTGTGGTCAACGAAGCCCCACATGGTACAACAAAGAGGATGACTGACAAGCTGACCAATCACATAAGTCCATTCCTATCTTCTTCTGCTTTATCTTGTCTTATCCGATTGGCAAACACAAAATTACAACAGCCACACTGCTGGTCAGTCATCAAAATTGCTTCGTTATTGATGCAGCCTCTTTAGACTAAATGGACCGCGTTTAGCAGAAAGGAACGAAGTCACATCAGTTATTGCCAGATTTTGTTTTTTTACATGAAAACGGTTGTGCAGGTTTTTGTGCAAATTTCATTGAATTTTCTGCATAGTTCAAAGCAAATTTCTTAAATTTCACAAAGAAATTTGCAGGAACGTTCTCTTGCAAAAAATTAAATTGCTAAGTTAAATATGGCAATAGGTGATGTGGCTTGGTTCCTTTCTGTTTAACACGGTTCAAATGGAAAGAAAATTTTGTAATGGACTTGTTAGATTATGTTCTTTTTTTTAAAGAAGTATAATTAGGTCAGATGAGTGTTGAGTCACTTTTGGTATATCTATAAACTGAACAACCAATCTAGCTTGTCTTCCGTATTAAGCACAGTAAAGAGGTCATTAATTCCAATCAACCAACCAGTACAAACCTCTGTCTAAACTCATCTCTTATCTTATTTCGTGGAAGGAGACAAAATTCACGTATTTGTTTGCTTGATAGGGAATGAATCTACTTTGGTATTTTTCAATAGAGAAAAGAATAAGTTTTCTGAAATAAAAACTGTACCCTAAAGATTCCCCCGCCCTCTCTCTCTTATAAAAATGAATTACCTAAATGAAAATAAAATATTCAAAGTTTCTTCAAAAAAGTTCCGGCTGTTAAAAAGCTTGCAAGGAAAGAATTTTGCTCCGACTTTTTCCTTTGTTACATCAAAATTAGAGGTCTGTTTTTCTGAATTTTGAACTTTCTTTATTTTGGAATGTTCGATGGAATCCTTGGGTCTATTAAAAAAAAAACCAAAAGAGAGTTTTCATCAGATTTTTCTATTCTTTTATGGATGATGTTTACTTGTGATTTTTTTAATCTATCCAGATTGGAGTGATCTCCCGTCTCCTGTAGGCGAAGCCATCCTGAAATGGACCTACACCGACTTGGTCAACTTTTCAGAAGGCGATGATTTCACTTTGCAACTCATGAGAACTGCCAATAAGTTTTTCCTCCATGACCTTGTCTCAAAGTAAGTTCTAGTTTGAAAGATTTATACTAGTTTTAAAACTCCTCATACACTCACTTTCTGTCCGTCCATTAAAGTGAGTGAATTCAGAGTTTTAAATTTAACAACTGGTGCAAGGTATTTTAGTTAGAAGTTCACTATTTTGAATCTATATCCCCTCACAATAAGCTGGACGGAGCTTTTTTTTGACAGAATGCACCAAGTCATACTGATTCATTCGTCAGTAGTGTGGGTGAGAGAACAATGTAGATACGGCTGAAAATGCAGATTTCACTTAAAAAAATTAAGTTGTTAATTCAGTACAATCATCCTCAAATGAAGAAAATTAAAATCTGAAATTTTTATTTTTTCCATCAGACAGAAAGAATTAAAAATGTTGCATTTAATAAAACAGAGTCATGAACGACACGTCAACAAGTTGTAAAGTGTTCTGACATAATCCCCCCCCCCAGTTTTCATTGTAAATTTACAATTAAACAAATTTATAGGTATAGACATTCACAGACTGCCTTAGTCTTTACTTTGTTTTTATCATGAAACAATCAAATATAAATATTGGTTCCACTAAGATTTTAGAAAAATGACATGGTTAACTACAGCCAACTCTCAAATGACATTGAAATATGACCTTTTTTGTTTTTTTCCATTGCTATTTTGCACTTACTTTTTGCTCATGGATATTTTTTAATGTTGATGAAACCTAAGCGTAAGGAATATTTTAGTGGAAAGGGAAAAACTATTGAAAATAACAGCCAGTACTGTCATTGGCTAATGAAAATATTGAATGTTAGGTTTATTGAAAATGCTTACTATTTTGGCTTGTTTTTCGTGACATTTTAAAAATTCAGTCATTTGTTAGCAATACCCAGTGAAATGAAGTCATGTAATTCTCATATTAATTTTACAGATGTGAAAAAGCTCTAATGGCATCCGTGCATGTCCGTAATTGCGTCAGATTTTATACGACAGCTGACGAAATTGGTGCTGAAAGTCTAAAAGAACATTGCTCTAGTTTGATATCCGCTCATTGGGTAAGTCGCCTTGTGTTTCACTTTCTCAGAATTTTTTTTGAAGTATCCATTGCACTCGACAATCAATGCATAATAAGTAAAAAGACACAGATCAGTTAGCTATTTTCAACTCATGGACATTTATTGTTGCGCGGCGAACTTTTATGGACAGGTAAATCCAGTGCTTTAGATAATGTAAGTATTTAGATATTTTTAGAGTTTGAAGCTTCATATTCTGAACTCAACATCATGAAAATGCATTGCCAAATTGAGCAAAGCCGAAAGTTTTTTAACAGAAATTTTGGCTTTAGGGGATCTATTGTGTTGTTTTATTAATAAATGTCCTCAATACTTGGATACTTGTTATTATTAATTTTAATTATTTTTGTTTTAGGATGACTTCACTAGTGAAGATTTCGCTCACATGTCTGCCCCATTACTATTTCACATGTTCAAAAATAAAACTGACTATCCACTTCACTCCGCGGTTCGACTTCACCGGGAGGATGTTGTTTTTTTATACCTTGTTGAAAACAGTGCACAGGTAAGAACAAGCACAATTTTATAAATCCTAACGTGTCATTTGTCTCCATTCAGAAAAGTAGCGGAGAGCTATTTTCCCCCTGTTTTACTTCATTTCTTTTTCTTATTTTCCTCAGCTATCAACAAAACTGAATCAGTTCGATAATCATGGCGATTTGCCACTGGACATAGCAATCAAAGATAGGCAAACCAGCATTGCGGCAACTTTATTAGAACACAAGGCTGATCCAGACGCAAAAGATTCCAAGGGATGGACCTTATTACATCGCGCTGTGGAAAGAGGTAAGGTTTCTCTCAAAATCTACTGTGACTACGATCATTGTGAGCCATCAAAACCTGAAGCCCTAAAACTCCTTAAGTTGTAGCTAAAAAGAATGTGGATTTTTTTGTTCATGTTCTATTTTTCTCTACCTCATCTTTATTGAATGTTATGAGCTTATTATGAATTGGGCTGCTCTTGCTGCTATTAGAAGTCACTGAGACTTTTTTGTGCACAGCCACCGTATAGTTGTACCTTATTGCAAAGTTTCTCGAAATACGGTTTTTTTTCGAGGAAACGTTCATTTTTCAAGTCCTGGCCAGTCTTTTCTCATTTTAGCGTTTCTCAAAGTAACGTTTTTCCAGATACAATGTTCTTCGTTTTATTCCCCTTTGAAAATGTTATAAGGGGGTGAGATTGTATTTAAATGATGGAAACTACTCACTACTGCAAGTGGAATGTTATTTGTGTTGTCACAATCCTGAAATCCACAATCCTTGTCAAATCCTGAAAACCAATAAGGAAACTCCAAGCCAACGTTACCTAATCGATCTAACTAGAGTCAGTCAGCCAAGTCAATTGCGAGATTTGGCCAGTCACATCGTGATTTGACCAGGATTTGGAATTTGACAACGACATCCCAAATTCTATTTTCTAGGGGACAGCTATGCTGCAACTTTTCTCTTGGAAAACGGAGCCTCTGTTGCAATCGCCACTCCTGATCTGGGCAACACTGCATTGCACCTGATCGCAAGTTGTTCTCCGGACATAACACCTGAGGAAACATTGACAGCACTGACAGGAGTTGCAAAACTCATGTTAGATAAAGGATTGGATCCCAATATCCAGAATAAAAAAGGATTGTAAGTGTCAATATTGTTTTGTCATCTGGAACGATTTAAATTACTTATTTCATTGTGTTGCAGCCTTTTAGATGAAAAAAACAATTCTGTGGAAGATTTCGAAACATTTGGCTATCAATTTTCGTTGTTTGTGTCTTTTCCTCATTTTCATAAATTTTGATGAAAAAATTGGATGAATTCAGTGTGAAAACCTCTTTTAGTTGCAAATTTTAAACAAGGCTCACTTTAAAATTTTCCATGCGTCCAATTTAATACCTGTGGGAGTTACTCGTCTCCGTCTCGATCTTATTGAGTCAATTTTTCTTCTTCAATTTAATTAAATAGGGATACAGCACTTGCAGTATTGACGTTCATTGGATACACAACAGCATATAATACGTAGTTAAGTATACTGCTGTGCAAAAGATAAACACCTTTGTGTTTTCAAAATTCACCAGATTTCTTTCGATAAAATATTTATGTCGTAGAAAATTCAAGAACATTTTGCTGTCAAGTCGGGAGCTTAAAACATGAGGGCCGTAATTAATATTTCTGAAAAGTCAGATTATTCACATTCTCAATATGCTTAGGAGGAGGTTCATATTTGTGAACAAATTTGGTAGTGACCTATTGCCAAATCTCAAAATTGCAAATTGCACGGAAAGCAATGGGCAACAGGGTTACCAGACAGTTTTTTCCTTATCTTACTTTATAGTATAAAATCATAAGGGTGCCTTGTCACACTGAGGGTGTCATGCTAAACATGTCATAAACCAGTTTCTCCTCCACTTTCCGCTTTTCCCAGCCCCGCATGCTCACATGCTTCCTGCCCTCTCCAAACTAGGTTTTCCTTCACTCTCCGTTCCCCTTCCGCTGCGCATGCTACCGTTGCCACTACCCCTAACTCTTAATGATCTTAACGATCTCACTATCTTTATGCGATTAATATCTGCACATTAAATGGGCAAAGCGCCTCTGGGGGATTCAGCCACGGAGCGGCCAGGGGGCGCAGCCCCCTAGTTCTTTAACAAAAAAAAAATGTAATTACAACCATTCTGCTCCAAGCTTCTGAATTTTTCAGAAACAATGCATCAATTATGGATAAAATTCTATGAAAGCTCTGTTCGGAATTTTTAAGAAGTATCTTTTAAAATTTTCAATCTTAATTGCAGTGCTGCTCTGCATTTGGCTGTCATGACACGCAATGAGGAAATATTTGCTCTGCTACTAAAAAGATCTGAAACCCAGATGGTAAATTTGGATGTTCAAACTGTTGAAGGACATTCTCCAATGTGGTATGCTTTGTTTGCATCGCGGAAACTAATCAACAGCAACAGTTTTGCAGCCCGTCTTTTCGAGAAAGGAGCTAATGCCAACCCTGTAAGTAAACGTTTATCTTTGTGCTTTACTTCCTTTATGACGAACATATATTATAGTGCCAAATTTCAAATTTTCAACCGATCAGACCCCATCATCTTCCTTCTTATGGCAATGACTAATAGCTTCTGTGATGATGTCATCAATACGCCAAAAATTTTAAATTTCAGTATTGCAAAAAACAGTCTTAATCAGCCAAAATGATAAAATTTGACTAATGAAATTCGAAGGAGAAAAACTCTAATCAAATGTAAATAAAATTTTAAAATCATCATCAACATTCAACATCATTCAACTTTGAGTTTAAATGTGTTGTTATAACAATTATATATCGCAGGGTGGTTACAGGTCTGGAAAACAAATCAGGGAATTTGTAAAAAAGAATAAGGATTTGCAAAATCTTGGAGCTCGAAATCTGAAAAAACATTAGTGCTGTCCACACAATCTAACTAACAGCAAGTTTCAGTCTGGCCCTGGGCTCAATTTTCCGACTCACACTCTAAAGAGTGATCATTAGTTAATTGAACCATTCATAACAGAGGAAAAAAATTCACATGTTTCTGTCATTTTCGGTGAAATTATTGCCAAAAGTTTTCCAATTTCAGATCTGTGCCTTCAAATTATCTGTGTGAAAATTCAGGGAATATTAATCATTTTGGCCAAGAGACTGCCAAGTTTGTAGAAATCTTGCTATCTTAACATATTTGAAGAGCTGTACTCTAATTTTCATTCCAATTATAAATGAAACTGTCCAAGAACCCACATTTAAACAACTGTACTGAAATCCAATCGATTCTATCACACTAGCAGTCTATCTTTCATATTGAAATATGTACTTAATTAAGTGTTATATACTTAATTAAGACGTGACTTAATTAAGTGCTGACTTATGCTGCGGAAACCCGGGCAGACACAAAGCGGACTGAACAACAGTTTCGGACTGTAGAAATGAAAGTCCTGTGGAAAATAGCAGACTTTACGCTCCAAGACAGGCAGACCAACGAGTCAATTCGCGAAGAGTGCCAAATTCAAGATATTGCCAAATAGACCAAGATGCGCTGGAAAATGTAGTCGGAACATGTTGAGAGGATGGACGGGGAAAGGCTTGCCAAGATTTGTATGGTAGGACGATCTCATAGCCAAAGGCAACTCAGACGACCGCCCAAGAGATGGGCACACAGCTGCCTTTCATCCCCGGAGAATTAACCCTCTCTCATCGCCATCATATGTCATTTGTCATATTTATATACTAATTTAGAGGCTAGACAAACAGGGTCACGTTCCTAGTCGGAAGGTAGAAGAAGAAGAAGAAGAATTAAGTGTAATTTTATGCTTTAAAAATGAAACCATTTTTGTAATGTTATTTTTTCATTCCAGATATATCCTCAAACGAATGATTCTTTACTTCATTTGGTCGCAGAGGAAGGCCTCGAAGAAGCAGCCTTGTTCATTTGCTCTCACGCCAATAACCTCAATCATATCAATCGAAAAGTAAGTCCATCCTATTTTTCTTCTTACATATCAGGTTCTTTTATTTTATGACAAGTCTTTAATTTTTAAGATGGAATACTGTAATGGAAGAAATTCAAACGAGATGTGTTCCTTTTTCCTTACTGGCAATCCGTTTATTTTTGTGTTTTTTAGGAGTTATCTCTTTTTCAATAATTTCTTCTGGTTAGAATAATTGCTAAATTTTGTGTTTGTTCCTCCTAAGAAACTCAGTGCTCTTGTTAATTTCAGGGTGAAAGTGCCTTACACATAGCCTGCGCTCAAGGTCTGCATCGGCTGGCTACGAATTTGTTAGAAGCAGATGCAGATCCTAACCTTCAAACTCTTCCACCTGAAGATCTCGGCATCAGTGAAGAGGCAAATTCAATAGTCTATAAACAGACTCCACTCCATGTTGCAATCACCAATCGACAAGACTCGTGTGTGAAAGCTATTTTGCAGTTCAAAGGTAAATTTTTTTCATGAGGCTCAGTATTTGGAAGAAGTTGGAAGAATCAAATTGAAAATTAAGCCGTACATTTTCCAATCCCGTTAGGTTTGGTTTTTTTTCCAATCTTTTTTTCCATCTACTTTTCCTCTGAATGTTTTCGGTGGATTACATTGATCAAATGTCAGTAGATTTTCTTCAATGATGAAGCACTATGGGTAATTTTTTGGCGTCCTTGAATTTGTGTACAAATGTTTTCATTGAAATTGTGCCCCTCATTTGCTATTTTATAATATATAAAGAACGTTTTTACTCACTTTTCAAGAAAATGTGTGTCGGTACATGGATTGTGTAATGGACCACTAAACAAGATGCTAATCTGGTAGCTAGCACTCTCTCCCGATCTGCAGTGAATTACACCTTGAAAATTCAAGCCCCGCACTAGTCTACATCAGTTCTTTGGGCTGAGCTATTTTTATAGTCGTGCTTCCTTTGATTTGGAAAAAGTAGTCCAGGAAAACCTAAGAAGTCAGATAGATGAAAAGAAAATTTCACTGAATATGCGGTTAGGCCTTATGCTCTACAAGCAACAGTTTATTAAATCTGTCCCAGGTCTACATTTTTCATTGTAATTTTTAGTAGAGTAGTTAATTAGATCTCACTGCAGATATGTTAGCAGTTGCTTTCTTGGCATTTGTAAATGACTACATTGGTGCTGTGCAAGAGTCATCGTAGATTTACCCAGAGCAACAACTTTGCAAAATGTAAGCACATGATACAATTTCTCGCACATGATACAATTTCTCGCACATGATGGTTAAAAGCAAACGACTGCTGACTTATCTAATACGAGTTCTAATGTGCTCCAATTAACAATTCTTCACTCCTTTATTTATTTTATTTGTAAGTATCGGATTTTAATCTACCTGTAATCAATCTTTGATTCCAGCCACTCAAGATCAAAATGCCACTGTTGTAGCAGACCTAAATTTAAAGAACTCTCGTGATGACAGTCCTCTGTCTTTAGCTCTGAATTGTCAAATGCAGCATATTGTCCCTGACCTGATAAAAGGTGTGTAAAAATTTTGATAGCAAATTATAACCTCTTTAATTATTATTAGTTGAAATAGTAATTGATTAAATTATTATGCAGTTTAGAGCATTTTTAGATCATTTAACATGAAAAATTCTGTTTCTGCACCCAAACAAGAATGGTGTGTAATATCAGAATATCCAGTTATGAGCCTTCCTGTAATGACGGAAGGTGATGATGCTGCCATGCACAGAAGGAGTAAAGAGCATAATTATTTAGAGACTATTATGAACGATCCTTTAATTTCAACTTTAACTGCTAATATCACTTGAATGTAGGTATCATGCTAATAATTTTTTTTTTTTGAAAACGCCGGATAACCATTATTTTCAGATCAAACACTAATACTTTTCTATGGCAGATTTTTTTGTGCTCACTCTGTCTTTAGAATCACAATACATGACTTAAGTTTTTTAAGAGTGCTTCTCATGTCTGATGGTTAGTTGATTTTTTATTTGAGCCCAATCGCTTTCATCGTTTACCAATAGTGAATCATTAATGTGTCTTCCTCTTTTATCTTTTGAATCTGATCATTTTCCCCAAAATTATTTTTTTTATTTTATTATTTTTAAAGTCCAGACTTTGTACCCTCACCCTTTTTTTTGATGTGGCTGCTGATTTCAAAGCCCCTATTCACACTACTCAATGTTATCTACAATTTTGTAGTCTTTCAAGTATTTGTTTTTTCTATTTTTTCTATTTATGTTTCTTAAAGTTACTTATGAGTCGTATATGTCCCAGGTGGCGCCGATATTAATGTCCGAACCGGAGAAGAAAGACTGACACTATTGCATCAAGCAATCATCAACGAAGATGCCAAGATCGCAACATTCCTCTTAGAACAAGGAGCTAACATGGACGCTAAAACCATGGACAACGTCACTCCTCTGCAGTTAGCGATCAAACACAAAGTCGGTGCTGTTGTTGAAGCTCTGTGCAAAAGAGGCGCTGACATGTCGGTTAAAGATGAAAATAACAACTGCCCCTTGTGGGTTGCACTGGATTCAGGCGAAGAGGATATCGCTTCAACTCTTGTCAGGTATGGATCGAAGTACCTCATCAATCTTTGCTTAATTTCCTCGTTAAAAAACCTACCTGTTTTCTTCCAGTAAAATCACAAGAATAAAAAAATTCTCTATTATCAAATGATGCCATAGGTGGTAATAACTTGTTACAATTGTCCTATGAGTAGACTTTTAAATCTTTTAATAGGACTGCTATATTTCACATGAAATTTTGATAAGGGAAGAAGTATCAAGTGGCGGAAGGTTTCACCCTGTATTCTTAAAGATTGTTTCTTACTCGTTTGTGGTGATTAGTCGTCAATTGACCTGATAAAATTAGAGGGGTACAGAAAGTGCTCAATTGGCTGATTGCGGTAGAAACATGAAGACTCCTGAAAAGGAGGAAAATGTGAAAGACGAAGGTATTTTTGTAAAGGAAACTTGTGAACTAACTGAAACTAATTTCTTAAGAAAAAAAACTACCTAAGCTCCTTTTTTTTGGCAAAGGAAATTGTGTAACGTGCTCTTGAATGCAAAAAAAAAACAGTGACATGCGATTTTTCATACGAAAAAAAATAGTGAAGTGTTCAGTCTTATGTGGACATCAGTGTGAAGGCAGTCGCACTAAATGAGGAGGTAAAGAACTTTTGCATCCCTGTAAAATCAACCCAATGGTTAGAAATCGCTGGCTAGAAGTCGTTAATCAGAATTTCTAATTATGAGCTATTGGTTTTGTGCCCAAAATAATTAGGTATGGCGTGGACACTGACTGCTGGGATGAAGGCCCCGAAGGCTGTTGGCAGACTTTACTTCATCGAGCAATCGATGAGAATAAAGAGGGAATTGCCAAATTTTTAATACAAAGTGGCTGTGATCTTAATACGCCGCGAAAGCCCGGCCCTGGAGGCACTGGGGGAGAGGAAGCCCGTGATCTTCAAACGCCTCTCCATTTGTGCTGTGTCTGGGGACTCGAATCTGTTGTGCAGACACTGGTTGAATTTGGTGCTGATGTGAATGCCAAGGTTTGTTTTAATCACTAGCTCTCTCCCATTTTTTCAAAATTTTTTGTTCTGTTTTTAAAGCATTTCAAAGATAGTGCATCTGAAGGTGCATTAGCTTCTTAATTGGCGGGTGAAGCAAAAAATGGAAAAGACTAAGAGGATAGGTTTTGGAAGTAGGGAGGCTGAGTGTATATATGTGCAAATTGTTACATTCATAAAATCTTGGATTTTTTAAGGAGGAAAATAAATCACCACTTTGATAGTCATCGCTTTGAATTGTGGAAAACGAGAGGTTTTGGAATTGGAAAGCCTATTGGAAAGTAAGGAAGCTAAGTTCCCTCTGCATCATTGTGTGTTGTGCAAAATATCTCAACTTTTTTTCATTGCCAATAAATGTTTCAACAAATAATTGTTTAGATCACATGCAAAGTAATTCTTTCAAGTCCTTTTGAGGCCATGGAGACAAATACGTAAATTTCGATCAAGATGATTTTTTTTTTGTCAAATTCCTGAAAATTTCAAACATTTTTTAAAAATTATTCAAACAACAACGATCTGTTCATCGGCAAAGCATAGAGTATAAAGGGTCTGCCCATCAAGGAGAGGAACGCCCATTCCCGCAACCTTATTTTTCCATTCCTTTAACACGTGCTCTAGGTATACCTTAAATAGTGTTGGTGACAAACAACAGCCTTGTTTTAGCCCTTTTGTGACGAAGNAACGGGGTGCTCTGGGATCAGAGCATCTCAAAGGCAAACAAGCACCGAATATATGACTCCATCGTTAAAAGTATCGTGCTCTATGGTAGTGAAGTGTGGCCTATGACGAAAAGAATGCAAGAAATGTTGAGGGCAACTGAAATGGATTTTTGGCGGCGATCTGCCGGCATTTCGAGACGGGATCGTGTCCGTAATGAGAGAGTTCACCAGGTGATGAAGGTTGAGAAAGATATTGTGCACGACGTCATGTCCAGGCAGTTATACTGGTATGGACATGTGCAAAGAATGTCGGAGGAGAGGTTGCCCAAACAAGTTTTGGATTGGATACCACCTGGGAAGAGGCGACGGGGACGTCCCGTAAAGGGTTGGCGGCAGGGCGTTGACGAAGAGATGTTGCGGTGTCAGTTGCCCGATAACCTCTGGGAAGACAGGCATATGTGGCGTTTGGGTGTCGTAGAACGCCAGAGTGCGTTATAAAGCGACTTATATATATATATATATATTCAAACAAGAAAATTTTTCTGTACCAAAATATGATTTTTTTCCTTAGACTAGAAAAAAACGTAAAATTATATTGCAAGTGAGTGTGCGCACTCATATTTTCTTTTCCTCAAACTCCTTGATACTTTTGGTCAGCCATCTTCTGCACTAGATTGTTCCATAATACTGCTTGTTTTCACAGTAACCAATGCAGTTCCTCTTTAGTGTTTTCTGCTTTTTTCTTTTCTTCCTTATTTTTTTTTGTTCCTCAGTGCAAAAATTACTGTATTTATTTTAGGACTCAGATGGAAAGACACCACTTCACGTAGCAATAGTCAATCAGCACAGCGCTATAATCTCTCTGCTTCTCTGTCATCCTGGATTAGATCTAACGCAGAGGGATAAAAGTGGTCTCACACCGTTCGCCACTGCCCTCACCTGTAGGAACAACAAAGCTGCAACTGCTATTTTGGAAAAGTTACCCACAGCTGCAGAGCAGGTATTTCATCCTCAATTTTAAAAAAAGCTTTCATTTCTCCTCCTTCTCCCTTTCAAGGCTCACCAGCAGCCGAATTGAGGGGCTTGAAGGACAAGGCGCATAAGCGCAGTTTTTGAAAACCGAAAAAATGATTTCAAGTGAACCTAGTCTTAGTGCATATTCTGTGGAAAATTCGCTCCCAAATTCCAATTTTAAAGCATAAAAAAATCAGTTCGAACTTTCTTTCTGCTGTAAGGGTCCATGTAATTTCAAAAATTCAAGCACATATTCCTCGAATTAGCAAAAAACTGCAATTATGCGCCCTGTCCTCCGAGCCCCTTAATTACGTCTCTGGTCACTAAGTTTATATCAGGCGTTGAATTAAGTAATTGATTCATGTTATTCGTAAATATCGATGGCTAAAGTGCCATGTATCTTCGTTTGCAATGTTGCAAACTTCTTGTCATTTTTTTTAATGGTAACTGGTTAACATAATTTCTTGAAAACTTCCTAGATTTCTCTTCTCTGTCGGTGGAATATCCTTTAAAAATTTCAAGCTCTAGAATTGGCTTGTTCCTCCTCAAAAAAATAAAATAGGAGTGAAAATTTTGAAAAACTGCAATGGAGGTACGTAATTTCGCACTCTGGCCATTAATATATAATGAAAAGGAAAATACACTCACCCCGCGCCTTAGAGCACCAGGCAGAATCGGCTGAAAGTTCTACTGGATAAGATAGACTGGCCTCTCAAAAGGGCAGAGGAGAATTAAATGTGGAGAATGCACTATGGGAATGCGCTTGTTAAATATCATTGACTTCAATATCAAAAAGCTGCATTGTGTCTCGTGAATTTTCTCCTCAATGGGTCAGTTGCGCTGGTCACAAAATCATATTTTGATGCTTGATTCTTGTAGATCAGCCAAAAATGATAAGATTTGTCCAAACTGCAATTTTATACGTCACCCACCATGGGAGTGACACACTTGGTCTCTTCCACCTTGCTTTCATCCGAGTTTCACGTTGAATAACCAGTGCAAATGTGTGTCTTCCTGGCTGATGAAAGCAAGGTGGAAGAAACCAAGGGTGTCACTCCCGTGGTGGGTGATGTCATAATCCGAATTTTTCAAAGGGGAATATCTCGGTTCATATTGAACATAGAAAGTTGCGATTTGGTTAAGTCTTATTATTTTTAGCTAATATACAAGAATCAAACATCAAAACAAGAATTTTGTAACCAGCACTACTGGCCCATTAATTTTTTTGGCTCACTGTTCTTACGATTCATTTTAGTCATTAATGATGCACTAATTTTTTTCTTCACTTTTTTCATTCAGTTTGACAATAGGGGCTGCAATTTCTTACACATGGCAATCATGAAGCACGACGTTGAAAGTGTTCTGTTCTTACTTTCAATTCAAGTCGATGTTAATTCAAGGGTTCAAGATTCGAACCAAACTCCGCCTCTTCATTTGACGGCTGCAACCGGTGATGAAACCCTTGTCCGAAGTTTACTGTTAGTCGGTGCCAGAGTGGATGACCGGGACGCCAGGAGGAAAACAGCATTGCATGTTGCCGCTGAGTCAGGGTACCCGGCCGTAGTTTCTGCCTTGTTGGGGAACAACTGTGACTGTGATGCTGTTGATTCTGAAGGTTTGATACCATTTAATTATTTTTTAGATTTCTTTGATCCACACTGCCGTGGACTGAGAATTTTCTGAACTTCTCTTAGAGTGTATTCATTTTATTGATTTCTTTCATTAATTTTCTTGCAGTATCCCCTTTAAAATCTTTATAACTAATCGTATAGTAACCGAGAGGTCAGGATGATTTCATGCTTTCCTTTTCAAGAAGAGTTGCTACTACAGGGTTTTCACAGTCAGGGAATACCAGGAAATGTCAGGGAACCTCTGGAAGTGTCGAGGAAAAGACAGAAGTATTGAGAAAAAGACTGAAGTGTCAGGGAAAAATTTTCAAGTCACCTATTTTTGTTTTCTAGGATGGTTTTGATGTTTCAAACAACAGATTTTGCATGAAAACGTATTCAAATTGTGTTTTTTTAAACCGTCCGGCATATCTTCAATTGTCAGGGAATTTTACCAAAACGTAACAGGAAAATCGTGGAAATTTTAGGGAATTTCATTTTTTAAATTCTGTGGCAACCCTGCACTAACAAAATTTTGCTCATCTGTCTGAAGCTATCTAACACTGAAGTTATAGTTTTTATGATTTTTACTAATATCAGCTCTTGTTCTGGGCTTCCTGTATAAATGATGAGCATGTATCTCAAATCGAATACTAATTAAATAGAATTGTAGATTATAAAGAATATAATTTTAATTTACAAGTAGAACGTAGTTGTTCCCATTTTTAAAAAAATATGTGGAAGAGTTGGCTATGATTTCGGTTCAAAAATTAAGACTATATAGAGTCTTCTATCAGATCAGAATAAATTAAAAAGGTAATCTTCTTACTGTACCCTTCCTTGAAATGTATACTTCCTTTCCTTTAATTTTCTTTCCTCGTTTTTTGTGCTTTATCAGACAGCTATGGAAAGCTGATGGATACAAAAGACAGTAATCACATGACTACTTTAAATGTATTGTGCTGTTCATTACATTGAACCATTTACTCTTCCGCAAAAATTGAATTTTTAGATCATGAATCTTCTTTGGTTCTCTTCAACAAACTGTTCTCCTTCCCTCCAGGAATTTTTTGCCTGATATTTAACTTTCTTTCTATTTCTTGTTTTTTTTTTTTTTTAGGAGACAATGCATTACACATTGCTTGCCAATTTGGGCATCCTCAAGTTGTACGAATGCTTCTGTCAGAATCCAGGATTAATGCCGAAACCATAAATCTGAAGGGAAGAAATCCTTTGCACGTCTTAGCAAGGTATGGAAAAGAGAATGCAGCTGCCATTTGTGAACTTTTTATGGAGTTTATCCCTGACTACCCATGGAACAAACCTGATGTAGATGGAAATACAGGTAATGTCTTCTTCTTCTTTTTCTCTTCTTCCAGTTGTATAGACCGCATGCTCACATTTTTTGTCAGCCATGTGATTTTGAATTGCATCTAGACAGTGTTGCAGAAACTTCACGCTTGCTTTTTGGATGAAATGGGGAAACCCCTGCTTTTAGGCCCTCTCTGTGAATCGGAGAAAAGCTGTCAACTAATTTTGATATTCTCGTTTTTACAGCATTCTAGCGCTGAAAAAGCCGACTTTGCTCAGGAATTTCTTTTCTCTATCTCCTGTTCTTAGGGGACATTAATCATGAATTATAGTGCAAAATGAGCTAATTGAATGTAGGGAAAGGCTCACATGTCAGTAGCTAAATTCACAAACCTGTCTTGCAATGTTGTAGATCATCCATCTTTCTCTAATTCATTTTTTTCCCCCTTTACAAATAATGTTCATTTCTCTGAAATTTTTTAATATATTTGGTAAAAATGTAAGCAGAAAAGTTGCTCAACATTTATTTTTGTCAAATTTAACTCCTAGCAAATCCGTTCAGTTCCTGTATTCCCAGTGCTTATTGATCTCATGTTTAATAATGTAAGTTAATCAAGAAGCAGTATTAACATATTCTATAATCTGTAAATTAAAATTCTATTGTCAAAACCAAAATTTATAATTCTAATATTTGTCCATCCTTCGCAGCTCTTTTACTTGCATACATGAAGGGTAACGGACAACTTTGTAGAGCTCTGGTGAAAGCAGGTGCTTGCGTTGGATCTATGAACAAAGAGAGTGTTACTATCTTCAACTACCAAGTTGCCACGAAAACACTTTTATATAAGTAAGTATCGTTCTGTTCGACTGCTCAGAGCTAAAATTCTACTTTCTAATATTGCATATATTTTGACATGTTTTTCTATAAGTATGTAATGATTCAGGTGTTTGTTGAGTTGTGATTTTCAAGATTTCCAGTGAATTTATCGTTTCTGACAATAACTTTCTTTTTCTGGCCCAGTAAAAATTGCGAAGTCCACAATCACAACTCTTGAAAAAAATCTCCTACGAATAACAATGGACCATTAGACAGAGTACGAATTCAAGCATTCTGATATATGTTTCCTCTTATAAATTTCACGATTCGCGCTACAAAAACACTTAAATTAACTCCTATTTGAGATATTCATGTTTTCATTCAACATTCATTTCAAAAAATTTAAATTTCCTTCTCGCAAGTTAAACCTGAGTCCACGTTAGGGGCACCATGGGGTGGGGTAGGGAGGGGGAGTGTATCTGCCTAGCCCTGTGTATTGGAGGATAACTGTTTGAGTCGCAAATCGCTCGACACGACCGGGGGAAAAAAGTGGGAAAATGGTCTGACGTTTGCCGTTTCCACAATGAGAAGCTAAGGGGAAAAAAAAGAAAAAAAAACACTCCATCACTCTTTTGCCTGGCTCTGCAATAACCTGAAATGGCGCCCCTGGTCCTCGTGAATCAAATTTTGTACAAAATGTGAACAGCGTGCAACAGCTTTGTAGAAGTACCAAGTTAAAAGTTGCTGTATTTTCGCACCGCAAAGACTGGTGCGGTAACATTTAGTGTGCGATGAAACTCTAGTAGAATATTGTATTTTCTATGAATGGGAAGTTTGAATTTATGCACCAAAATAGGATAATATCTTGGTTTGAAGGCACTTTCAATAATTTTCGTTGCACAAATCAACAAGAAATTTTTATGAGAAAACATACATCAGCAAGCTTAAATTTGCAACTTGTCTAGTGGTCTGTTCATTTTATATTTCACGTTTTCTTCTTTTCTAACAGCTGAAGATAATCATTCCCAACAACGACAAACTCTAACATGTAAGTCCATATCTCACCTTTTCTTCAATTTTTCCAGATTGCTGGACCATTTATCGCGCGAACCTCCATGGACAGAAGGCGACATTTGCTATGAGTGCGGAACAAAATTTAACATCACCATGCGCAAACATCACTGCAGACATTGCGGACGGCTACTCTGTAGTAAGTGCTCATCGCATGAGATTCCTATCCTTAAATTCAATCTGAACAAACCAGTGCGGGTATGTGGAGTTTGTTTCAACGTTCTCCAGGGTGCTGAAAGTGATGGTTACTATTGAAAAAGATAACTGCATTTTTTAGAATTTAAGAGTCCAAAAGGTTCTTCCTAACCTTGCTTTTCTACTTCATAATTGTTGAGGGAAACTGATTTCACCCCCTCTCACCTCATTTGTTTATTTATTCATTTCTTTTTTCTAATGATAGATGCCAAAAAATAGTAGAAAAAGAACAAATAAGTTGAACATTTTCCATCTGTATTTTGAAGTCTGTATAATCTGTTCCATCTGTATTAAACGACCTTCAGCTATTGGGAACTTCTTTTTCTACATACTTTCTCTTAAAAGTGATTTTAAGATAAAAGTAATGAATAATGACTTGCTCATCTCGTATACATTTTTAGTTTACTGTTTTACTTCATATAAAAAGTATTTTGTTTTTTGCCGTTTTTTGTATTTTAAAAAAAACTAAAATTTCCCTGCATTTAATTCTAACAGTAAATCTAAGTGAACATTTTCGAGGTATTTTTTTGCCGTAAATTTTGCCAGAGAGAATGAGAATGGTACGGAAGTAACTTGAAAAACTTAAGTCAGATAAGTTGGTAGTTTTCAATTTTGACTGTCATAAGCTGTACATTCCTGCATATAGTTGCAGCGTTGCCTGTAGTCAATCTTCAATGGATATAGGATGACTGCAACGCAGTTGCTTGCTAACAGAAAGTGATCAACTACCAACTTATTTAACATGAGTTCTAAATAACTTACTGGTAACGGAAGGTACAGAATCTCTAATGTAGTATCAGTAAGAGACTCAGAAGTTGAAAGAGAAACATTTTTTTCCTGTAGTATTTATGTCACTGAAGTTTTTCAAGTGAAAATTCCAAGAGATTCTGGGATAGCAACTGCGTAATAGTTTCAGTTTGTAACCATCCGAATTTTGTATTTAGATTAGACAAAAATTCAGTATTCACATAATTGTATTTTTATTTTATCTGTATCCGCTTGTCAGCCTAATGATCATTTAATTAGATAGTACCATCGTTTAGTTCATAAATTCAAAAGATCGGTACTGTCAAAAATTTTCCTGTTGACGTATTTAATTTGCTTCGTACAAATAGCATCTGCAGATTTTAGCAGAATCTTTCTGTTAACAGGAAATAGAAGAAACCAAATTAATATTTTAACTTCTGTTGTTCCTTGTTTTTTGTTGTGTTGTTTGGAGAGAGCTTTTTTCTCTAAAATGTTATTTTAATAATTGTTTTATTCAGTTTAATTTCTCTCAAAGCCCTATTTTTGAGACTTTTTAAAGTATTCCACAGATTTTTTTTAAAATTCTTTATGTTTTGTAAATATAAATTCATTTAATGTACCCGTTTGTTATTTTTTCCCTGGAGTTTTTACTCTGTATAGTTACATTTTTTTTGGAGGGATTTTCTCTCGAAGTTCATGTTTAAGCTATTAATCAACATATTGGTGATAGTGCCGGATACCAGAGCCCTTGCAACAATTTGAATGGAAATGATAGAAAAAAGACTTAATGATTAGAAATCGACTTTATTGTCAACATTAATTGTATAAAAAAAAAGAACTAGAATAAACAAGGCTAAATTTACCTCAAATAGATATTAGAATACTTAATGGCAACAAATTTTACACATTACTTTTTCAAAAACTTCCTGGTTCCCTCATCACTAAGCCTCTAGCTAATAAATATGGCTAATAAATCCAATACAACAAATAATCCTTGAGATTTAAGAATTTAATTCCAATTTTTGTACGCATGATCAGAGCAAAAGAACTATTTACTTTTCAGGGGAATAAGAAAATCAGAGGCTAAAATTGTTTTACGAGCTTTATAGTACTTAATCGTCGATCGCTTCCGATATAGAAAATACACTAAACATATTATGTTCGATGAGTACCAAAATAAGGAACTTTTGGCAGCTTAGAGTGAAAGGAAATACAGCAAAAGATTATAGTCAAATCTAAGATAATACAAAAGCATGATCCCCTCCTATTGGACTGTCTAGCAGCTTCATAAGGACCTTTGAGAGATAAATTACTAACAATAAACATTCAACAACATCTGCGTGGTAGAGAAACGGTTAACAGGTAATATAATTTCAAAATTAAATAATGCTACGATGATTGGATAGTTTACAATGATCATTGATTGGCACTAAGCATTTGACACTTAAGGCATAATTAAATTGTGAACACACATTTTGAAGAGCTAAAAAATGGAACGCTGAAGACAAAAAAATAGAATGGCATTTGAATATTTAGTTGTATAAATTCAAATAAATTTTAATTTTGATTAGATTTGATTGATCAAAGCAACAGGTTCAATTTTAGTAGCTCTCCATGACATACATACTCAGAATTTTTTTTTTCTGTGGTTACTAGAAGAAAAAAAGCTTATCCATTAGATAAAAAAAAGTTGGAAATGGTAATCCTTACTTGACTTTGACAAGAAATCACTTTCTTAGTGACACTGTCCATCCAAGTTGATACTATTGGCAGTACACTAAAAATAGAGAATCATTAAAGCAAGATCCAGATCTAAAACATACATCAGATTTTTAATACGACAAAGAACCAGCCTTTTGCAAATTCTGACAGATACATTAAAGTCTCATTTTCTTCTTTCGCTTGTAAGTACATGAAAAAACAAAATGAAGTAATTTTTCTAAATTTCAACATTGGAATAAAAAATAATTGAGACATTATTCAAGTTAAACAGTCTTTGATTGAAGGTACTTTCATGTAAAATGGCAGGTGAATATATATAGGAAAGTCTCGATGAGGAATGTGAGTGATTTAGAAATAAATGCTCAAAAAACTTTTGGTGAATTGCTATACTTTGAAGGCTGAAGCTCAATTCACACAGTTCAACTTTTTATCCAACAAAAGTGTATGAAAAGCTGGATAGAAAGTTGTATACGACAAAATTGGATTGAATGCTGATTCTCTGCTGCGTGATATTGTCAAACTGAATTCGTCAGCTTGCAGTTCACGAAAATACAGCTCTTGCTAATGTCGGTCGTAAGATTTCGTTTCAACTTTCCTATCAACTTTTCATCCAGTTGTAGCGTTCTCGTGTCTGTAACACACGATCCAACTTTTCATTCGGCCAAAGCAGAAGAAAAGTTTAATGAAAAGTTGAACCGTGTGAATTGGGCCTTAAGATTGCAAAAGTAGAGACAAACAGAATGAGATTTGTGTAACCCATGGGATTGTAAATTCCTCAAAGATAAATAACCGAGGCACGTGTGATGTAAATCAAATGAGATTCTTTTTCCAAATCCAAAATAGGAAGACATAGAAGACATTTCCAGTTTCCCCAGTAATTTGTGAAAATTTTTCCTGAAACAAAAGAGAAGGAATACAATGTAAGTTAACAACGGGTGAATTCTGTACTTTCTGTAATCAACATCAGTTAGATACAGTTCAACAAAAAAGTCATACCTACATTGTGGTGTTGCACAATCTCATCTCCTATTTTAATTTGTTGGAAGGGAACCATCGAACACTTTCACTCCAAATTTTGTGGGAATAACTTTCACGTAGGCAAGTAAAATTGCGAACATTTGCGAGTGGAGGTGTTGTTTGGTTTCCTTCCAAAACCTTTAAATAGATTTTCAGATTTTGGAACACTGCAATTCACATATGACAGTTCGCCTTTACTCTATATAATTTTTCAGCTGAATTCGTTTGACATAATTATCACTTTTGTTTTGTGGTTCACGAACAGAATACAAAATTTAGTGAAATGGCCTGAACCATTTTGAACTGAACAGTTCAGGGCAAATGAAATGCCTGCACAGTCCTCTGGATGGTGCAAGGCTAGTAAAAACTGCTGTATGGAGATGGAAATTTATGGCCTTATTTTCTTTCTTTGCTTGCTTTTTCTTCATTTTCTTGCGATACATTAAGTAAGTTGTTGCAATCTCAGCAAAAGCACCATCATGTCCTTCTTCAGAAAGACCAAAACTGGAAATTGTTAGGAACATTCCATATCGATGGCTAAAACGAGAAACCAAAAATCTGCATTGACAGACTTGCAGACTTCCTGTCATACTTTTTTTCTTTAAAAAACTGGTCAATGTAATTTTTTGAAAACCTTGGTTTTTCTTCCCTGATTGCAGAATTTTCTATCTAAATTTCAATCTATTGACTTGGTTTGTCTCTCTTCAAAATATAAACTCGGTGCGAAGATTTTGGAACATCACTATGAAGATGCTGGTTCCTGACATTGGCCATCGAGACATACCACAAGAAATGCTTTTGCTTGGATCAGCAACTCCTAAATCAGTTTTTGATCTTCACAGACCTCATTTAACGTCAATATTTTTTAATTTTACACTCCATTGATAGTCCAGGTGCCTGGTAGCTAAAAATGCGGCTACCACGAATTTCGGGTACACAGCGATTATTTTGGCTTAAGTTATGTTTTTTTGGGTCGCTGAATTCGAATCTGAAGTTTCCTACCGCGTATCTGGTGAGCATTTTCCGCCATTTTGAAAAAATGACCTAAAAAGGCCTTTTTTTGCGGTTTTTTTGATATAGCGGCTACGCATGAGAAAAAGTCCCGGATTTAGTTAATGTTTTGAAATGCTGACATAATTTGAAAGTAAATGGTGTACTTATACGTATGCTAGGTTTGCTTAAAAATTGAGGAAGATACAGCATCGTGAACATCGCGCCCATTCACGTTTTCGCGGCGCACCCGTCAACGCGCGATCCGGCTCGCCGCGGTCAGCCAAGTTCCGAAGCGTTCCAAAGTTCCGAAATCCGAGGTTCCTCAATTTTTTAGCAAACCTAGCATATTTATATACCATTTTCTTCCAAATTATGTCAGCTATTCAAAACATTAACTAAATCCGGGACTTGTTCTCATACGTAGCCGCTATATAAAAAAAACCGCAAAAAAAGGCCTTTTTAGGCCATTTTTTCAAAATGGCGGAAAATGCTCACCAGTTACGCGGTAGGAAACTTCAGATTCGAATTCAGCGACCCAAAAAACACTAATTAAGCCAAAAAAATTGCTGTGTACTCAAAATTCCAGGTAGACTTACCAGGCGCCTGGACTATGAGACTTTAGCAATGGTGAACTTAGTTTCATTTTGCATGAGTGTGATTTTTTTTTGGACACGATTTGTTACAACATCAGACACTGACCTCAACAGGAGCAGAACGGTTTTTCAGGCTGAGCAACGGGGCCTCGCAGTGTTACTGTATCCTCATCGTTTGCAATTGCTCCATCGTTTCTTTCCTGCTTCATCATCATATCCACCATAAACCTGATAAAATTAATGATTTTTGGCATGAGAAGAAAAATAAATCTGAGAGCTGATTATTGAAATTGACAGACAAAGCTATAGACGAAAATAAAACAAAAAACTTTTCCGCGTTTGGAGGCTGCACAAGAAATGATCAACAATTTTAAAAAAGTACTCACTTATACATCAATTAATTATTATTGCGGAGGCGTTTTGCTTCTGCCCATGGAGCATCATCAGCGCGACTGATATGTTCTTCTTGACATATGAAAAGGTATGGCAGGGAAGATGCGATATACTGAGCATGAAGTTTTCGCAGTGACTAACTAACCTTTGTGTTTAAATTATTATAAGGAATAAGGCTAATGCATGTTTTAGGGCCAACTTCAAAGTGAAAGTCAGTGCTGGAGTAACAAAAAATTCCATTGTCCCTCCCCCCATTTACTTTCATTAATTCTACTCTAGGCGAATGCTAATAACTGAGAGCACCTCTTATTCAGTTCTTAAACCTGAAAATCAGTTAAGCGCCACAAAAAGTTCTTCATTTTTTTCAATTAATTAAAGTTTTTGAGCAATGGAAGCAAAGTGCAAAATCATGTCAAAAGGTCTTACTTCATAGAGTCTTCAACCATGAGGCCTTCTTTCGCAGATACTTCAGTCCAACCGATAAAATTGTGCTCTTTGTAAAACGTCTCAATTTCCATTTGTTCCACCTGACGATGAGGTAAATCGCACTAAGAAAAACAAGGACAGAGGAACATTAAGGAAAATCTTCATCATTATGTCAGATCAAGGCCTTAGTGGAACCATTAATTTATGAAAGAGCCTAAGCACATCAAATTGCTGAGCTTTGGTTTCTCTCTTTTTCCATGACTCTCCTCGCTAATGAGTTTTCGACACTTGGGCTCTCATAGGATGTTTCAATTCTTAAAATACTTTGATGCAATATCACAAACCAAGGTGCATGTTTTCCTACTTCAGCCATCAATTTATCATTCTAAAATTTCCAATTTGTGATGATTTAAGCAGTGTACAAGGTAAGAGGTTGGTTTGGTACGAACATGTGTGGAGGGTGGCACACAATCAGTGACTCAAGTAGGTTTTCAATTGGATTCCTTGAAGGAGGAAACGGCATGGACGTCCCAAAAAAGGTTGGCGACAAGAAATGGAAAGGGAGATCAGAAAGTGTCATTGCCCGGCAATCTGTGAAATAATAAGGAGCAACAGCGATAGCAGAGTTGCCTTAATTCCTTCATCTATAAATTCCCTGACTATTTTTGCTTTTCCTGACTCCAAGATTTTCGTTGACTAATACTTCCACTTAGATTTTTTTTCCCCCTTTAAATCACACTCACTTATACTAAACGCTCCTGGGAAAACGCTCCCTGGCCTTTCCATTGAATTACCTGATTTTTTCCAGTTGCTGCAAATTTCCTTACGTTCCCAATTTTCCCGACTGCCAGCAACCCTGCAATAGATTGTCGTAGAGCGCAAAGCTGCGCTATAAAAGTGGGTGTCATACACGTAAGGTATAAGTTTAATTAAAAATGTGAGTGAATTAAAATAAAATTTATCCATTTTTTTTTAAAGACTAAAATGTAGGTATTTCACTTACTTTATTGGCCAGAAGCATGCAAGGAATTGGATTCCCATTCGAAAGTTGACATTTTTCATCTACATCGTTTTTCCACTTCAAAGTATTGATAAAAGAGTTTTTGTTGGTAAGATCGAACATAATAACACAGCCATGAGCATCCTTGTAGTACACTCGAGTCATCTGCGTAAACCTCTCCTGCCCTGTAAATCAGACAAAATATCAAGCTACAGAGATCTACCTTCTACTAGTATAGTTATTTTTCAGTAATAGTTAGTATACTTGGTGCAAATCTTATTTTCAGAAACTTAGCAGTGTTTATTAAAGAGCCAATATTTATTCACATGTGCTCTTAAGACGAGGTGTTTACCGTCTAAACAAAATTCCCAGGAAAAATTATAGACCTATTTCTGAATTATTTTAGACTTCTTCTTGATAGTTGAGCCAATTTTACTCAGTCAGCTACGAGAAACATTAGGTAATATTCAACGCTAAATTGATAATTCTGTGAGCACTGTTGCTGCTTGATAGATGTTGCATAAGATCAATCAACCTAGACTTCTAAAAGACTTATTTATCTTTATGATCATAGCATATCTATATGACCATAATTTTAACTTCTAATCTGCCCTGTTTTGGAAAAAATTACATGATTGAATACAAGTGCTACGGTCAGCCTCTGTTGACATAAAGTTGATCTGAACCGCTCAAAATTTATTCTTCAGAAACACTAAATTTTTCTCTTGAAAACTCGAAATTCAATACTTCTTCCAACTCACCAAAATTTGCTCCACTGAAAATATTGCACGCTAACATCTCTTACCCCCAGGGACAGTCAGAAATGTGAAGATTGACTGTTAATTTACAAAATTTAATTTAGAAGAAACAGAGCAAATTTCTTTTCTATTATTTATTTACTCTATTATTTCTATTATTATTTATTTATTTTTTCCCCGATTTCCTTGATTTTCCAGACCTGAGCTTCCGAGACTTTCACTGGACTTTCTAGTAAAACTAGATTTTCCCCCTGAGTTCAGAAAAAAATAATGAATTTCTCATCTTGCAGCTAAATATATCACACTGACATTTCAATGACCGTCTAATTTGTAGACAGAGTGGTCTCAGAGTGGTCAGAGTGGGAAGAGAGGAAATTCATGCTAAAATAACCGAATTTTCAGATGAATTTTATACTTATCATGAGAAAATTCCATTCCCTGATGAATCTTGATGTTTCCTGGTCTTTCCAGATTTTAAAGATAATGATTTGAGAAGGGTTTAATGACCAAAATGACCACGGAACATGGATTTGCAGACTGAGGAAAACTGATTTTAACTTTCATCCCACCATTAAGCTCAATATGAAAAATAACTACTGGTCAAATTATTGAACACTGAATATAGTCTGTGAACACTAGATTTGCAGTATGTGACTAGAAATACATTTTTGAAATAGCTCAAAGCATTCCTCTATGAGTAAAAATTGAGCTTGAATGAGCTTTTTCTCTCTGTGACAAGAATTTCAGTTTCATACTGAATTTTAATGTTTGTTGGTAAAATCACAGACTCTCTTGTCAAAGCCTGTTAGGCTATCCTTGATTCAGTTTTTATGATAATGTCACTTTATTCCTTTTCGACAGGTGCTCCTCATTTTAATGTGATTTTTTTTAAAGTTGCCCATTGAATGTAAGACTGGTGAGACAAAGGGGGAACATTTTGAGAGGCAACAGCGAAACATGTCGAGAAATAAAAGGTTGGTACCTGCAATATCCCATAGTTGAAGTTTCAAGGTTTGATGATCTGACCATTGGAGAACCTTCAAAGCAAAATCGACTCCAACAGTGCCTTTGTAGTCTTTCTTGAAAGAGTTTTGTACATATCTTTGAACATAAGAAGTTTTTCCCACGGTTGGATCACCGATGATAATTACTTTGTAAAGTTTTTCAGGTACGATTACTGTCTCTGCAAAAAAAAGTAAGTGTTTGTAGTTAAAAAAAATAGAAGTTAAATAATAGATTTAATTTTTGAATGACCTTCTTTTAACTATGAAAAACTTTTGGTATTGCAATGTTATTAGGATTGTAGAACTTCTTCACTCTTGCAAAGGTTTAAAAATGTATCAGCTTCCTCATCTTGAAAACCCTTTTTCCTACCCAAAGTTTTCACAGCACTGGTACCCTTTTTTTCGCTCTTAGGCAAAAATTGCGCGCTGCAATTCTGCAAAAAATACACAATTTTCTTGCCAGCCAACCTGCTTGCTTTGAAGCCTTCTTCAAATAACCTTCCCATTTTTAGAACATGTCTTTGAGGCCTTCCAGATCTTTTATGGTTTATGAAAATTTCGGCTCATATTCTCAGTTCCCTTATCTTGAAAACACTTTTTCCTACCTAAAGTTTTCACAGCACCTACTTTTCCTACCTAAAGTTTCTACCTAAAGTTCCTACCTAATGTTTACCCTTTTTTTTGCTCTTAGGCAAAAATTGCGCGCTGCAATTCTGCAAGAAATACACAATTTTCTTGCGAGCCAACCTGCTTGCTTTGAAGCCTTCTTCACATAACCTTCCCATTTTTAAAACATGTCTTTGGGGCCTTCTAGATCTCTTAAGGTATATGAAAATTTCGACTCATATTCTGTAGTTTTAAGAGAACAAGGCATGAATATTTACATACAATTTAGAGGGTGTTTTTGGAAGGGCACCAAAAAATCGACTGACATTTTTAGCAACAACGATAATCAGTCACCTTTCAAAGGCCTCGTACACTTAAGCAGGGTTCGTGGAACATTCGAGACACAGGTTTTTCTCAGTTTACGATCAATTCGACTTTCAAAGAATTTATCTCATCTTTATACTTACTTCGTTCGGCCATTAGACGAAACTGCGCATCACTTTCTGGATCACTTCCTTCACCCAACGGCGTGCTGTCTCCTTTGTCTGATAATTGCTGAAGAGGGGCGTCTTCCCACTCTGTATCACTAGAACTATCACTATGATCTACTCTCGGCCAGAATACAAGACTACGTCTTTTGTTATCAGACATACCAGATCATCAAGAGCTACAGCTTTGATGACACACAACTGGAAAAGAAAGACATAGTCTCGTTATTTTGAAATTTTGCAGGTAAATGAAACGAGGGCAACTTTCAATTTTTGCATTGTTAGATAAATCGATGGCCAAAGCGCGGAACTATTTAAGTCTATTTGCAGCGAAGCAGACTTTCTGTCATACCTTATTTTTTCTTTGGAACACTCGTCAACATAATTTCTTGAATCTTCTTAGATTCGTCCTCTCTCTTAGCAGAGTATTCTTTTTAAATTTAATGCCTTAAAGTTGATTTCTTTCTCTTCAAAAAAGCAAAACTGGAATGGAAATTTTGAATGCGATTTTGCACTTAAGACATCAAAATGGTATGTTTTGAACACCATCCAACTCAGAGACTAAAAATTTTCATAAAACACAGAAAAGAATGAGGAAGAAAATTTTGGTAGGTTGAAAACCTCTTTCAGGTTGTGTTACAGCAACCGAAGACAGGCTGATGAACAAACGGGGGATATTTCATCCACGCCTTTTTCAGGGAGCCAGTTGGCCCCTGCAGACACCATGCTTTGATTAAGCTCACAGGATTTTGTTCTGAGGAATTTCATGGGGATCGTTGCAAATTCTTAAGTTGAAACATGCAAAATTTGGACCATCGGCGAGAGTAAGTTATCATTAATGGAGAATATGAGGGACATACCTCTTCAGCAAAGCTCCTTAGAAACAAGGGAAAGACTTTAAACTAAGAAACTAGGATGAACTATTGTAAAAGCATACAGTTAGATAAAACAGACAATGAAATCAAGTCAAATGAGCTACCTGATATTCGGCAGATAGAACCTTGAAATCAATCTTTGTTATAACAAAGACTTGGTCAAAAATTAAAACAAAGACAAGGGATAATGGAATTACTTAAAACTTCAAAAATCACTTGCTCCACACAATCAAAAGGCTGATCTTTAGTGATAAATTCAATTGGATTATAAATGAAGTTCTGGGGACTGTTTATATCTCAGCGAACTCCTCATTAAAATCAATGAAAGTGACTGATGCCCTATGCTGTGGTCAGTCGCTAAAAGTGAGCGTTATGTTTCAAAGTGATACTGTATGATTCATGGGCACTGAGGGAATACAAGAACAGGTTTTCACTGTCACACAAAATGAGAGCAATAACTAAGTGTGGTAAATAAAATTGTAAATTTCAGTTACATAAGTTAATCACGGTTGTTATGTAATCAAAACATCAGCATGTTTCAGTTACATATGCATTGGGGAGGCAGGAAACCCTGAACCTGCATAGAAGTTCACGCTATGCAAATTCGATCAAAAGATGAAACAAAGTGACGAAAAAGGTAAAACTTACGAAATGCATGTAAATTATGAGAGAACTTCATCGCTTTATAATATTAAATCACAAAGGGAAGAAAGTGGCGTACGGTCGGTCCGGTCTAACCTTCCCGAATCAAACAAAGTAAAGAAGTTTCGTAGATTGGTGGATTATGACATGAACTGATTTGAAGGAACACTCAACTTGCGTAGATATCTGTAGAGTTTCGAGTATTTTTAGGTGCTTTATCGCAGAATAATAAATCGAACGGAATGCAACTACGGATTCTGATCCACATTACATGTGATAAGCGTGGATTTGCGTTATATAATCACAACACACATTCCTCTCTCCCCTCTTCTTGCACTGATGTCCATTGGCCAATCGTAACCATTCTCTGGCTGCAATCTACCCAAGTAACCAATCAGATCGCTGTAATAATGCACTCGGTCTTTTCCCGCTGAAGAGGTTGAAATTCAAATTGACGGCACAGGACAATCAGGAACAGGGGGGGATACCAGGAGGGTTTGCGTAAATTAGCTTCATATGTCACACTGTTTTAATTAAAAACCACCCACATTACTGTAATATTGGTAATTTACTCCATTAAATATCTAGATATCAATGAGTGGATTAGTAATGCTGAAATTTCAGCCTTGACCTTGAGAAGAGAGTGAGGAGCTCCGGTTGTAAACCACATTTTCTTTACAAATAATTTTAATTTACGTTGACATTCTTGCAATGTGGTCTTGCCCGTCTTGTTTGGATTTTCAAAAAATGTGCCAGTTGTAGCTACGTGCAACAGGGCCCGACTTTAATGACCAGCCGAGCAGCTGAGCGAACTTATCAGTCGAACTGCCCGCGCCCAGAAATCTTGATTTGTTTCTCGTCTTCTCAGTCTCTGATTGGCTGAGTCCACTGATTTTAGGTTATGTTTACTTGATTTGTTTATTCGTTATCACCTTATCACTCAGTCACTTGTACTTATCAGTGAAAATGTGACTGAAAACAGTTTTCACTCGGTAAAATAATGTTTGTTATACATCGTTTTATGTCATGGAGTCTGTTAGTAAGTTAAATGGAAGTTAGTACATTTATCAACACACATCAATTCACATATTTTTGGACAATTATCACTTCCTGATTGCTGGAAGTTTTGACTACAGGCACTTCAAGTGTTACTTGATGTGGGTTCATCGAATCCCGCGTTTATTTTGTTGCTAATTTCGCTTCTCTGAAGGATTACTCATGGAATCCTCTGCAGGAAATGAGACACCTGTAAGTAGCAGCCGAATTTTGCTACCGAGGAACGTGAAATCTGCACCTGTAACATCAAAGAAAGCCGGCTTCAGTATGTGTCGCCAAATCGGCCTAAAGCGGAAATCCACCACTGGCACAATTTTTCAATCACCCTTGAAAAGAAGCGCTGGAAGCAATGAGCTTAATTCTGCATTATGTTCTGTGAGCAATAATTTATTTTCAAGACCTCCCATCTCCCCCAGTCAAGAAGAAATTGATTCAGGAACATCTCTCACCAATTTTGAAAAATACTCTAACATCTCTGATATACCTACTAGCAAAGAACCTGACCCTGATATCAAGCAAAACCAGACACAAGCACAACTTAGTTCTGTCAGAAGTTTCACGCCAGTATTATCAAGACGTAAAAAGTTTTTGCTGAGTTCAGTCACCAAAAAATTGAATCTGTCACCCGGCAGTAAAGATATGCCTTCTGCAAGGGAAAACTTGGCAGATATCAGTAAGGATGCTGAAATAGTTACTGCAAATACTCCTAGCATTGTAAATGATCAGGTCAAGTGTCTAAGTGTGAAAAAGTCTGAACACTCAACAGAATTATCAAAATACAACAGTAACTCGGATCAGAATTCTCAATGCTCCGATGCGCAGTTTTCAGCAGAGCTTCAAAAGGCACTGACTAGGAACTACCCGCATTTTCAAATATATGATAATTCTTCTTCAAAGGATCAAGTAGATCAAGAAATAGACCCTGAGAAACAAAATGTTATTTTACAATTGAAACAAATGTTCCATGATATAACAACTTTGAAGCAGTCTCTTTTAAACGCCAAACAGCATGACCTATCCAAACTGCAATTACTCACTGCAAAATGGAGAGAAGGGTGTCAACGTGCTCTTCTTCTTCTTTTGGAGAAGTTTCAGGAACAAGGCAATGAATGCGACATGCCCCAGTTACTTGTCAAATTAGGCATCCCTAGTAAATTAGTAAAATATGATGAAAATATTCAGGATTTTGTCACTTGAACCAGGCATAAATAGTCAGGTTTTTTTTTTATTTTGTTTTTATCTTTTGTTCTTCTTTTTTGTTCCTTTTGAGATGTACTCAAAAACTGATGATAGGAGTTGCGAAGCCGTGTAGGTACAATGCTCTAGCAAAAAATTGACAGTGTAAGTCGGCAATCACATAACTCAGTTTGCGACGTCGCAATCTTCCTGCCATACTTTGTCTTTTAAACGGGAAATTACTCAACAGCAATTCTTTAAAACTACCGTGATTTTTCATCTTTGTGCGAAAGAATTTCTGCATAAACTTCAAGGAATGATGTCAGTTTGTTTTCCTTTAAAAAAATAACATAGAGGCAGAGATTTTCGGACACCGCGAAGGAGATATGTGATTGCAGACTTACGCTGTCAAAATGAAATTTTTGCATTGCTTGTTGCCAGCTGAATCCTGGTGCCAGCAACTTTTCAGGAGGCTTTGAAAAAATTTGTACCTAAATTTTGAAGAGACATCTCTCAAAGAAGATGTTGAAATTTATGAGCTGCTTGCGACCATACCTTAAGTAGAATTTACGAGAGCCGAATTTTCCTCAGAGAGGTATTGAAGAAACTCTCAAAATATATGCACTAGTTTCATTAACTCTTAAATGTTTTATTAAGCGAGAGTTAGAGAATTACCTAAAAATACCTTTCAAAAGGGCACTTTTAAAGAGTCTTGTTGGCGTCACAGTTACTTAAAAGATTTAACTTCGAAAGAATTTCTTCCTGTGTAAAATCTCAACAATCTTTGAAATGTGCTATTCGACAATAACAAACTGCTACTTAAGAACTGAGGAAATTACTTATGTTAACAAATTCTGCCAGAATAAACAAATAGTGGGCAATAATGAGATCGCCAAGAATTCATTCCCTTTTTTCCAAACATATTCATTAAATGTACACCATCAGAAGTTGCCTTTAAATCTATTCCAAAAAATTACTCTTAGCTAGGAAATAATGTTACTGAGGCATTTCTAGATGTTCATTGGCCGTCTAGGAATAATTCTACCAAAGCTGTAATTCTAAAAACCAGAAAAATATATGTTGTTAAGGCATCAGTAGAAAATTCCTTGCACAATTTATTCATTTCTTACCTAAGGGAGGTGAAATTGTTATCCAAAACTTGGTTTAAGTTTACTTAAAAAACTCGTTATCAAAAAATTCATGAGATGACGTTTGTTGCTTTTCATTTTAAAGAAATTAAATAAAATGTTTGATTTACCCACTGGCGATATTATCTTTCATATATTAGTTTGACCTTTCATGATTCAATCATCCGAAAAACCTATCTCCACTCCTTGATTTATGGATTTTACCAACAAGCGAATTTTATTCACATTTTTGGTAAGGATTATCTATGGAATGTTGCGTTTTAACATATTGCGTCGGATGATCCGCTCTTAGTGCCCTTCTCTCATTGTTGAAATCCATTAATTTTTGCGTCAGCAGACAGAAATTGCTGAAGAATGGTAATCCTTTAGTTTTCTCCTTCAACGCTATCTTTTACATTCGGAATGAATAAAAGAATTAAATACTAATTATTGACCAGCTATTTCTGAGGACAAAACTTTTACGTGACAGGTAGATAAAGTTCGCTTAATGGAAACTCTTCCATGTTTAATAGTAAGTTAAAGCTAAAATCAATCCCCTCTCCCGATGAATCTTTGAAAAGAAAGAGAAACACTCACATTTCAATGCAAAATTATATTAACTTGATATTTACAATTATTTTACAATTTTTTGATAATACTTCCTAATACAAAAAAAGAAGAAGAAAGACAATTAATTATAAAACAACCATAGACAATTTAGAAACAACATTATAAGCACTGTTGAATTAACAAATAAATGACTTGTTTGAAGAGAGGTGCATCAGTATGACAAATACACCATCATTACAAAATAAGCCATTTGATGATAAAAGTTGTAAACAAAAAAAACAAGATCTAAGATAACTTTACTGTGTCATAACAACACAATTTTCGAAAAATGTACCCTACTTTCTTTGGGTATCATTTCAACGTTTAGGGATTGGTACTTTCCATTTACCTCCTTGAGGAGAGGGTCTAAAAGATTCACAGTCTAAGTAATATTCATAGAAGAAAAAAGAGATGATATGAAATGAAATATGATCGTCCTGAAACAAAAGGACATGAATGATCAATGATAGAAGGAAAAAAGTTTGGCGCACGATAACATACATACCTAATTGACTAGAAAAATTTTGGAGCAATAAAGAGAATAAGTGCAATAAACGATAAAAAAAAAAAAAAAAAAAAAAAAAAAAAAAAAAAAAAATTAATACAGTGAAACCTTGATTATTTGACTATTAATGGCGTAAAGGGTGTTGAATAATGAAAAAGTCGGGAGAGTCGCTTACAGACTCTTTTCCCAAACTTGTTACACACTTATTACATAAATGTGAGCAACAAATAATGACACTAGAAAGTATTAAATTCTCCCCTCCTTGTTGTTGGGTAAAAAATGTGTGATCTACAGCTGTCATTAAAAAATTTTGGCAAAAACTATAAGCAAAAATGGCAACAAATTTTACGAATTGAAAGTCAATCAGGGCTCCACTATATCACTGTCGAAGAAATAAAAGTAAAATTAGGGGAATTTTGAATGAATGAATCTCTGTTATTTTCACTAAGGAAGAACATAAAATTAAGGAAAATGTTCTTCTATTAATATTCAACGACAGTATTTCGAAAATAAAATGGCATAATCCATGAAGATTTCAAAAGTATATGAGAGCAGCTGATAGAGGCCTTTATGCATAACTAAGTTTCATTCTATAAAACCAACAGACAATATTAACTGTGGCCTGTATACAATACAGTCATATTTCAACAGAAATAACTACTTGCAACGATCAGCTGCTTTGTATTGTGATGGAACCAATACAATACAAAACTAACATATTTTACGGTTGAAATACAGCTGAAACGCACTTCAAACTCAATTCAGACCAGAATAGAGCCTCAAACTTCTGCTAAATTAAATGAAACAAAAGATTCATACTATGTCCTATGGTAAAGTTTAATTCGCAGAGCAGTGTGACAGTTTAAAAAAAATAAATTAAATACACTAGCCTAAAGGTTAAAACCTATGAAAGTGAACGCATGAATCGCTGAATCAGGAGAGATGCATTGTTTTATCCTGAAAGGGTGATGTTAAAACTCAGAAAACTAAAATCATACGCGGAGATAAATTAGAGAAAAGAAAAAAAGGAATTGAGAGTTTTCACTCCTTTGTCTATGGAATCCTGACAAATTTTCACAAAAATGGAACGCTTAGGTAGAGAAATCTGAGAGACTTATAAATTTGTGTAAAAATGAGAGAAAAAAAATCAAATCGGCTCCTTAACGGAAAAGCAGAAAAAAAGGGCGATAAGACTGCAAAATTTTCAGCCTATTCATGCATGAACTGCAAATGTGGCAACAATAAGTAACTGGATGGTAGAATAATGCAGGGTCCTTGTTATTCTGCAACGGAATCAAAGCGAAAAGTCCGAAAGTTAGAAGTAGAATCACAAAATAAACTTCTAGGAGTTTGGGTTGAAATTTCAATGCATCTACCCGAGCTAAACACTCTCCTCCTTGGTTTTCTACTGAAACTCAGAAGAGTTCATTTTGTGACTCCAATTATAATTTTTGGATTTTTTTCGCTTTCATTTCCCTGCAGAATGGCATGAACCCAGCAATATTCATCCATGAATAGGTTGTAAGAAATAATGGAAACAAGAGTGAAAGGTTGGCCACACACACAAATTATTGGCCGGAAATAAACTTAATTTTTCTGCCTTTCTGTAAAATTAGGATGTGAAAGTCAAAAACACAAAATCTCAATTGTGCCATTTCAAAAGTTTTACTGTTGTCCAATTTCTAGTGGGTAAAGAGAAACAAACGAACAATATCGTTAGAAATTTTCGCGGAATATTCTACATTCGATGAGGGGATATATCTAAAAACTCCAAGAAATAATGATACTGAGTTGTTAATTCCATTCAAAAAACATAATAAATGTTCAACGCCTGTAATTAAGAAGCCTGTGTCTCGACTTTCACAACCCAAATATTGGCCAAAATAAAAGGAACTGCTGATTTGGAAGCACCGGGAGATATGAATGGGATGGCCGTGGGATTCGGAGGGTTTTGGAAATATTTGATCAAACTCAAAAATTGTCCCTTCATTCATTTTCCTCTCTTTCTTTTCTCTTTTTACTAAACATCAAACTGATTTACTTTCCACTCACAAGAGCATCTCTTGAACGACAATTCTTCTTCCACCAAGTGGCCTGAAACAACGATTTCGCTGCTTCAAAGTTATTGAATATCTTCTCTAAAAGGAGCTACTCATCAGGGGGACAGGAGCAGAAGAAGCAGCAATTTTTTCTTCCGTTATCAACCTGAACAAATAGCGGAATACTTTGGCTCAAATTTTGACAAAAAATAGTAGAAATACTTTTTCGTATTAAATTCAGTTTTGAGCAGATATTAAAAAAGTGAGACTGGCAGTCGCAGTTTCAACTACAGTACTCGTCCTTTTGATTAATCTCAACTAAACTTTTCTTAAACCGTTTAAAATTAAACTATAAGAGCTAATCACTTAAGTTGCAAAGAGCTGATAACAAGTAAACAAATTCCAAAAGCAAGGAACATAGGTGCATCACAATACATCTATATCAGAACTCCTCAATCAGTTGAGAAAAAAAATAGCTACCATTCTACATTTAAAACAGGATGGAAAAGACATACTGTCCTGACCACAGGACACACTGAATGTCCAGGTGCCATAGAAGGGATGAGGAGAAATCCAGATCAAAAATATGGGGCAGATGACAAAATGATTGAGCAGCTAGAAGGAGATGCCTAACAATCAAGGATAAAACAGCGAGAAGGGGCTTGATAATCTTCCGGTGACTCATGAGGAATTAGTAGGAGCAGCTTTAAATAGAGTTATTTGTGGGAAAAATTAATTTTTTTCCTGGAAATTTTAAAGCGTTCTGTAAACAAGACCTTTAAGGTGAGTCTTAAACTTTTACGGTGGAATGTGGAACACTGAAATGAATCTGCTCTGATTCTACACCAAATATTAGTTTTTTCAACGGAAAAAAAGTCTAAAAATTCTGGGAAAATTCAAATAGGAGAAAAGATTAGTTTTCTTGACTGATTTTTAGACTGCTCTAGAACCTCTACTTTTCGTTTCATCCTTCTGCTCTTTGACTCAGTATCCACCAGACCAAGGTGGGAACAGTTTTTTTTGTCATCTACCTTGGCTCTGAAAAAAGTGAAATACCATTCCATACACTTAGAATAGGTTGTCTAACTAATAGTGCAGCCTGATTGAAATTAAGTTACACTTATCTAATTATAAAAAGAAAAACGCTCTATGGACTTATACTTTGGTCTTGTTTTCTCATGAACCTCCAGTCAAGTAATTCATTGCTTCTTCTATTATCGTGCATAGTGATGTGGTCTATTTCAAAATGAGAGGTAGCATATTTGTTGCCCGAGGGCTGTGATGAAATAAAAACTGTGGAAAAATTAGGCAAGATTTCATGGGTGTGCAGGGTTGCCACAGAATTTAGAAAATAAAATGTCTTAAAATCCCCCGGTCATGTTTTGGTACATTCCCTGATAATAGCAGATATGCCAGATGGTTAAAAGACATAATTTTAAATCTTTTTTGGGCAAATATTGTTTTACGAAACGTCCACCCCATTCTGGAAAGAAAATAAAGGTGCCTTAACAATTTTTCCCGAACATTTCAACGTTTTACCAGACTTTCAAAAGTCCCTGACTATGGCAACCCTGTGTGAGTCATGCTATTAAGCAGGAGCTATAAGGCATTGCGCTGGATAAAGATCTACAGCATCTTCAATGTTTCAATCTCAGGGAAAGAGACTGGGGTCGTACCCTGTAACAAAATATTGCTCATCAGGATCATCAATTGATAGGCACAAACCCTTAAGCACCACACTCGACAATCTATCACAACCAGAGTGGAGAGCTTTCACTTTTAACTGGTAACCAAGTACAAATCTAGTCGATGAATTCAGAAAAACTCTACAAAGCTTATGAGCACTGCTTGTAAGTCGCAACGGTGTTACCGACTCGCTGGGTGATGGTGCGGCATGTCCTCTGGTATCCGCCGCTGGATTCGTGCGGGTGGTGGAATTGTTGAGCGTGATGGTGCGCCTGATGGTGAGCTTGATGGTGAGCCTGATGGTGGTGATGATGGTGGTTGCCGCCGCCACCGCCAAAATGTCCGCCGAAGAACGACCCACCATCCCCGAACTGCTCCTGGTCTTGCATGTGGAATTGATCGAACATTCCCTCCTGCAATCACGTGAAATCAAAATTATAGGGATTTTAAAATTTCAAGATTTATCATTTAGAAAGCCAAAATATTGAGATTTTTTTGTGGAAAATCAGGGTTGCCACTAAAATTAGAAATATCCTCCATGTGGAGGAGATCTTATTTTGTAAAAACATTTATTTAAATGGTTTTTTAAGCATCCACAACTTTGTGTATTAATTTTATCACATTTTGGTGTTATTTCTCATTTAATCAGAGGAGAGGCTGGTAAACTAGAAATATTTGGAACTATAGATACAAATTTTAAGAGCAGCCCAAGACAATGATAACAGTGGAAAAACAAGGATGAAAAAAGGGGAAACAAGGCTAAAAATACACAATTAATGAAACCCGAGACGTTTCAACTCAAAACTGAGTCATTTTCAGTCGGAAACAATAAAAATTTAAGAGAAAAACGATAAAAAACCTGAGCCCTACATGGTGGTGTCCGGGATCTGAGAGAAAGAGAAAATTGATAACCTCAATATTTGGAACGTCAAATATACTCATAAAAACAAATAAAGGTGACTCAACAATTTTACCCTCACACTTTCATCATTTACCCTGACATTTCAGTTTGAAACACAGCTGAAAGATCATTTAAAATTCCTTATCAAGCTGATCATGGCCACTGTTCAGCATGACATCACAATTTGATTCAAAGAGAGTACATTTCGAGAGAGTACTGTATTTGCAGCCATTTTTTAAGTTTTGCCCCTACTACCTAAGTTTAAGGAAATATGTTGCCTCTTTTTTCGTCAGTCCTGGAGAAGTTCTCTCATTGGATCAAAATACGTCCAGATGTGGCACAATTTCTTTCAAAAATCTTTTGGTCAAAAGAATGAGCTTACATTGAAAAAATCATCAAAGCTGAAGTGTTGCCTGTGCTTTTCAGCATGTCCATGGTGATGGAAACTTCCGCCTCCTCCGTTGCCGTGAGAGCTGAAGAAGAATGTTTGACCACTACCGAAGTCATCGTCAAAGGCACTGAAAATATCATCGAAGTTGAATGTGTGATGTCGCGGTTGACCTCCAGTTTCAAACGAGGCTGAGCCAAACTGATCATACTGCTTCCTCTTGTCAGGATCCGATAGGACTTCGTATGCTGTGAACACGATGTTAACATTATATACATACTTTTCTATTTTGAACATGAAAAACACATGGATCAAAAAGGCTTCAAAGACAACAACTCAGGACATGATCATAAAAAAATGAAATGGATGGTCCATTATGGAGCCTTTTTTGATGTCGAGGCTCTGGGAAATTCCTTCCTGTGGAATTTTCTTCTCCTTTTTTTTCTAATTTATGACCGTCCTGTAGGACAAGAAATTTATGTTCACACCCTCTAAACTTTTATTAGAGCAATTTTTCCCAAAACAGGTACATTTTTACTATCAAACAAGCACACTTGCTCTTCATTCAATTTTTGAACTGCCTCTAGGAGGACATTCCTCTCCGATCTCTTTGGTTAATCAATTTATTATTTTGCTATTTTTGAGTCACTTCTGTATACATTTTTGTTACTTTATTATTGTATTCTAGTTTTAATTTAAGTTTATATCATCAAAACTTATCTCGACCTTATTGCCGTCTCGTTTTGGTCTTTGTTTTTGTAATATTGTCCAGCTGATGAGTCTTTATGCCCCGTTGATACTGTAAATAAATTAATAAACTTTACTTTGAGTCTGAGACTTCCACTGAAAACTCTCTCCAAAGTTCTAAGGAATAAGTAGCCAGTATTTCAGTTCATTTTTAGAGGTTAACAGTTACCGAAGTACCCTGCGGCCCGATTATTGAAACTATGTCAGCATGAAAAGACAAGACTTAGCCCCATCTTAACCATGCAATATATTGCATCTGGATGTCTTACTGGGCTGCTTTGAGCTTTCAATATTCGGGCCCCTGGAAAAGGCAAATTTCAGAATAGAATTTTAAATGCCCCTGGCTCATCATATCAGCATAAAAAACGAATAATTTTTGCAAAATTATGACGGTGCGTAAATAAAAGCAAAAAGGGTCATAACTGTGAAAATCTTTGAGGGAAGGGGTCTCGAAATGGGGAAAACGATTTGCAAAATGGGAAGACTAATAACTTTCTGCACCCCTGCTCGCGTACTCCCTGATGAAAATAGCCTTCCTAAAATTAACTTCAGGCGAAAAATAGGATACAATTTTAATGTAGCCATAGTGTCGGCCTCCTGTGGTGTAGTGGTTGTAGCGCTGGCTCTACAATCAGGAGGTCCCGGGTTCGATTCCCGGCTAGGCGACTCGAGTTTGATGGTCTCAAACAACGGTTGCCTTGGGCTGGTACATGGTAGGGACGGAGGGGGGAGGGGCTCTTGCTGGAAGCGCTAGGATTACCACTTGTGTGGTATTTGAAGTAGTAAAAAAAAAAAAAAAAAAAAAAAAAAGTTTATACAGCCATTATTTTCAGTTAAATACGTACCTTGAGCAATTTTTTGGAACTTCTGCTCTGCTCCCTCCTCTTTATTCTTGTCTGGGTGCCAACGCTTTGCTAAATGCCTGAATGCTTTCTTTATTTCTTTTTCGGAGGCATTTTTCTTGACGTTCAAGACTTCATAGTAATCGTCCTCCGTTAGACAAACAACAACCATCAGTGATAGACAGAAAAGGAAGTACCACAGCTGGAGTGCCGGTAACTTGAGATTTTTCATCAAATCCATTTTGGTTAGGAAAATTTAATTCACCTGAAAAACAAGAGCAAAGAGAATTGGATTAAATCTGTAGATGAGAGGGTGGAAAGAAACTTTGCTCATACCTTTCAGAGTACAATATATCACCACTTCAATACACCTGTGATTAATTATGAATTGTGTTGTCGTAAGAGTGTGTCGTTAAAAAAACTGAAAACAAGCTGCAACCCCTTTCAAAAGAGAAGCCCCATGGTTTAAATGAATTTCAGATGAGCTTGGAACATTAACAATTAACTCAGATAATCACAGAGAGGTGTTAAGTTTCACCTCCTGCGAGTCGATCGTTGAATCGTTAGTAGCAATTGATCCTGATTGGTGAATCCGTATCTTAACATTGCTGTTGACCGATGATGATCATTTGATATTGAATCAACAAGCAAGCCGCTGGATGAGGTTCTACACTACGCAGGCATGAATTGTTCGCGGACTTGAGAGATCATAACCTCCCTTCACACTTAATGTAAGTAGCACTGCATTAGTTTTCAAGGAGTGTTCACTGTTGCAAAGCAGGGGAAAACAGAAGCAATCTGGTACTTACAATGGATTAGATAAAGAATCTATGGAGATTGGGGAATAAAGTTACTGCTGGCTGATTCTTCCTTTCTCTTTGATTGGGACTGATGGAGCGAGAAGAGTTGACAAGGTAATTCGCGCTACAGTGCTCGATTCATCAGATACAACCCTGATGGTAGACACTTGTGTAAACAAGTGTCAACACTTTGACGCATCATTATTTTCACATACAGGACTGTCTTTAAAATTTAGTTGACACAGATTGAATTTTCTTGAAGACACGAAATGCCCGAACAGTTTTAGAAGGTAAGATGAGCTGATAATGAGACTTGTGAAGAGTTGATACTTGAAAGGAAAAGAGCTGGTATTTCACAATCTAAGCTGGGTGGTGCAAATTTTGCGAACAAATTTATAAGATCCTTACCTAATTTTTAGATTCTGATTTGGACGGCCGAGAAAGAATGAAACTGACGAAAGGTTATAGTGTAGCAGTGATAAGGGTGCAGGAACGAAAAACGAAATTTTTCACGACGCGACGAGCTAGCAATCACAAACGAGCAAAACTGAAGTTCGCAAGTGTGAAAGGTATACGTGTTTTAAATTCAGACAGCTGACACACAAATGCTAACGAGTACACAAAAAATTACATTCACATTTCAAGGTGCACGCGATTGTAGGTTCTAGAATTGGATTTGTGTACAAAATAATGTAGTTCTTATCACCAAGGACTGGCCGTATTCCTCCGCGCTTGCGTCAGGTGTCTGATTTTACTTGGTTCTATCTGATTGGTCGCTCGCATTGGCGGGAATAACCAAGATTATTCAAATAGTTTTCCGCATTGGATATTTGACGCACTGCACGTGATGAATCATTTGACAGATGTTTCGAGTTTGACGTATAGACGTACGTACGTGGCTTCCGCCACTTACAATTTCGATGAAAAAACTACGAAACCACGTATGTACCTCCATTAGGGACATTGTAGATTTCTTTCACATTTCACTTCTGAAGAATGACTGTTCATCGTTATTATGCTACATTTTTGATGATTTTTTTAACCTTTCAAGAATGTTCTTTGAACAATGTCTACAATATTCTTTTGTAAATGAGGGAGAGAGCGAAGTTTTGGAAACGTTGAAATCATAATACTCTTAACTTAAGGTGCTAAATAGTAACTACATGATTGGAAGAAAAAGTCCTCTGATATCTCTAAGTCTGGAAATCAACCTCTAACCAAGGTGTAGGTGTTTACAATTAATATTGGTTACATGGCAAAAATTCAAATGACATCATTGGTGCAATTTAACTTACATCTAATCTGTACCTATTCAAAATACTTGGTTATAACTTGTTCAAGAGTTGATTTTCAAACTTCCTATTGTGTGGATCATTCTCTACATAAGATTCTAAGGAATAAACAAGTTGCATTTTCATCTTGCTCACAGTCAGACTTTGTCTGGTGAGCCATTGGCTGGTTATACAACAGTTTTAACTGTTCTTCAATTAGGAGGCTTTCAGTGCTTGTGGGTGGGGAAACTACAGACTTAAAAATCTTGGTGTGCAGGGCTGCAAACTTCTTGTCATCTTGTATTTTCTTTGTACACGAAAAACTAGATACTCAACACCATTTCTTGAAACTTTGAAGCCATGTTCCGTCTCTGTTCAAAAAATAAAATAGAAGAGGAGATTTTAAGACATTGCAACTGCAATTCACATTTCTATAGTTCCACTGTTGTTTTGCAGTAAGAGTAGGTACTCTTAATTGAAAAAAAAAAATTCTGAAATATTTGTGATTAGAAAGGAGCAAAGTGAGTCACCAAAAGTTCAGAAAAATGCCAGGAAACACAGAGACAATACTTGAGTAGTGAGAAAAATTGTAGAGGTTTTGATAAAAAGCAAGAGAAATAAATCGTTGCCAAAATTATGAAGAAAATATAAAAAAATTTATTATCACATTATTGAGTAAATTTTAATACTTATTAACCTTTAAAGAAAAAGAACCATACCTTCCTGAAAATTCAGAGGAACAGAACTCGGAAACTTTCAGTACAAAAATTGCCATATGAACATGACAAAATAAAAACAAAATTAAAACAAAGTAGATGGATTAAACACATTATGAAAGCCAAATAGGTTATGTTAAACTTTGGTAACTTCAACATGTACTGAAGTTCACTTCAGTGAAAAGAGGCATTGGTGTAGAGAGTTAGAGATAAACGTAATTTAGGATAAATAAAAAAATCAATCGACAGTGTGAAAATCGCCCCTCCAGGCAGGGATAGCTTCAATTTGATGCAGCAAGCAGTAAGTATAATCAAAGTGAAACAGGGGAAAGAATTGAAATAAATATGCCCTGATTGTAACTTTGCTTTCATTGGAATAATTCTGTCATTAATCTTTCCTTGACATTCTCCCTTAAAACTTGTTTCTAGAAAGCACTATTGTTTACATTACTTTCTTATTCTTATGAGAAAAATCATAATATCTCATGCTTTTACATGAAAAAGAAAAAAAAGAGAATTCATACAAAACAAAAGGTCACAAGTGGGCACAAGTGGGAAAACTCATTTTTGTCTCATGATCTACCAAACAAATTTCTGACTTTTAAATTATGAAAATTAAACATATCACCTAGATCTTTAAACTCAAATAGAAGCTAAAATGTCGTTTAGAGAAACTCTTTAATTTGACAAAAACACTGTTTAACTTTTGAGTGGATTCCATCCGGTATAACATTGGTTGATGAGAATCATCAAGGTGGTATGACGGCAAAAATACTCAGGCACTGATACATTGATGACTGCAAAAACCAAATTTTCAAGTTTAGAACATCAGTTTAAACTTTCCACTAGTCAGCAGACTCAATACAATCATAAAACTTAAAACTTGTTATTCTGAATAATACAAAAGCACTTCTTACCTCCTCCGTTCACCGAAGGCTTCAATTCTCTCAGAGTCAGATCAACAGCACTTGAATTGCGTAGGGATAGAAACAATTACAAGTCATCAAACAAGTCTTGTGTGCTGTACATCAACTGATTATGACTCGATACTTCCGGAGATTCTTTAGTCTCTGGCTCATCATGCTTTTTGGACTCCGCGGGTGGAGACGAAGGTTGTTTTGCAGAGCTAGGTCCAGGCTCAGCAGGATCTACGATCATCGATTCACTCTTGGTTGATTTTATTGTTTGTGTCGATGGCACCTTCCTGCTTAAAACCAGAACTGGCGAGTTCTGCGAATCATCCAAGGCAAAATTCTCCATTGAATTCTGAGAATTTGATTTCTGGGAGTTGGTTGCGTTTGATTCGACTTCCACATCATTTTCTGGTTCTTCCTCCGTATCCACATCCGTTTCTGAATCGTATGGATTGCTTGTGGTTGGTTGATCATTTTTTGAGCTTTCATCAAAGTTTTCAAGGATGGATGAGTGACTCAGCAAAACATCTACAAATAAAATCAGAGGTGTATCAGTTTAGGAAGAGGGGGCTGATTGCTCATGGAGAAAGGAGGAGTTTGCAACAAAATGCAAAACTTTGTTGAGAACGTTTTTAAGAATTAAAAGTACAAACAGCTTTGGAGGTAGTCATACTACGTGTAAAAAGTTTGGGAAAACATTGATAATTTTTGAAACAATTCATTGCCTACTATTGGAATGGTTATTTGCAAATATCTAATTGAAATATTCCTATTAGAAGTTTTACTGTAATGCTTGATTCAGGAGTTCTTTTGGACCGATTTCGACAATGCTTGATTCTGGTAATAGTTGTTGATGTCTTAATGTTTACGAAACTGTCAAAATTCCAAATTTTCTCTCTTTCCTACTGTGAAAGCCAAATTTACTTGGAGGGTTTTTATAATTCCTTCATTTTCTGATTCCCTGATTTTGTTTCTTCTTTTCCTCAATTTTCTTATTTTCTCTCCGGCTCCAAAATTTCCAAATTCTCTGACTTCCCTACACCTTCTGACAAAATATCCGCTTGGAGTGTTCTCCTGTCAATCACGCTTAACTGAACCTTGAACAAAATTTCCACTTCTACAGATTGCTATGTGATTATTATATCTTTGTTACAAGGAAAAATACATAAATATTTTAAAACTAATGACTAATACCTTCCTTGGAAATTACCTAAAATAATTTAGATACCTACCTTTAACATTAAATCTGTTATCTAATTTTTTGTGCAAGGAACAAATTTTATCCTTTTCAGCATTCAGGATGTGTAGGAAGTTTTGGTACAAAGCCTTCTCTTCCTCCTCGATTAAAGCTGGATATGACTCTAATCTATGTCGCAAATTATTTTGAACTGTAAAAAAGAGAGAGAGAAATTAAACAGATTAGCAATAATTCAAATGATCTGTAAAAAAAAGATCAAAGAAAACAAGGTTTTTACAAGGTGTCGACTAAAATTTCATTTAGGATTTTCCTAAATTTCAAATGAAATTTCCTGATTTTTTGTGCGATTAAATAGATACTTGTTTGATTTTACAAACTGACATATTCCATGAATTGAATCAAATGTTTCGTTTTTGCAAGTGCTAAACTGAATGTAGTTGAAAAAGGCTTTACGCACTCGGAATTGTCTGATCCATGACCGATGTCTTGGATATTTTCCTGATGACATCGAATTCCCTAATATTTTCCAGAGTTTCCGGTGTTTACTGACAGAAGACATGATAGTATAGCTAAGAATATTTTATAACACATTTTTCAGTAAGATTTCTTGTAAAAACTCTGTTATACACCAGCAAGTTTGAAAGTAACCTCCGAAGTCAACTCCTCCTGGGATTTAAAAATAAAAATAAAAAATTCACTAAAAACTGCTTTGGAAGGTATATTATCATATGAAAAGGTTTGAATTTTCATCTTCATGCGACAGGACTCAGAATTCTTACATCTTTGATATTTCTTTACATACCTGTTTGATGGGCAGCTATTGAATTTTTCAGTGTTGCGATGCGTTTGTTCAATTTTTTATTGGTGCTTAGTAGAATATCGATAAATTCATTGGCTATATGCGGGATTGGAATCTGCAACATAACAAAACAGATTAGGATAGAAATTGATTTTAGACGAATTTGGTTTTTCCAGACAGTCATGACGGGCAAGGGGCAGCATTTGAATTAAATGAAAGATTCCAAATGTTGAGGGTAAGAGGAGTTACTTAAACTAACCACTATGGGCAGAGATCTCCCAGTGAAGGTTGTTTCCTATCCATATCCATCGCTTATTGAGGCTATTAAAAAAACACAATATTCGTCTCCAGGTACAAAAGTTATCCTTTTATTCAGTGATTTCATCTCCTCATGGAATATTTAGAGTAGAATATTTCCTAGAGGCCTACTAATGAGGTCCCTGACAACGGCTAGGTGAAAAATCTTTTTGGGGAAAAAATGCGATAAAAAAGACCAAATTGATATGGTATATGATTGTTCACAGAAAAAAGGACCTAATTCCACAAAAAATTAAGATTGAGCTACTGACACCAGAGCGATGGAGCAAGAGGAATGTTCTACAAACGCATGAAGCCTTAAACCGCTTGAAAATATTAGTCCAAACCGGTATGACCATTTAAAGCATCCAGGGCAAAAGGCCTTGTTTCAAGAGAGAGCTATTCAAAAGTTTCATCTGCCGTGTTCATGTACAAAAATGCCGGCTTTTATTGCAACTTCGAGCGATATATATATACACAAAAAAATGAACTAAACTACCTGCAACTTATTCTTTAGGATAGTAAATGAAGTTCTCTTGCAAAATCTTAAAATCCAATTTTTTCCACTCACCTCAATAAAAATCACTTTACAGAATAATTCGCCTCTGTTAATCGAGTCGCTTTTTCCCAAGGACAGTCATATAATCGATGGCCAAGAGCAAAACTACGCAACTTCATTGCAGTGTTTCAAAATTTCTCCTCCTATTTAATTTTTTCCAAGAGACATAGCCTACTTCATGGCTTGAAATTTACACAGAATATTCTATTTGCAGAGAAGAAAAATCAAGGAATCAAAAAATTATAGAATCAACAAATAACGTTTTCCAAGGAAGAAATGTCTTTCTTTAGTTTTTCCTAGAGGTCTGCAACGTCAGAAGCGGAGATTAATAGTTTCGTACTTTAGCCATCCATACTGATGGTGAAATTGCACAAATGCATACCTCCGTTTATGATGTTGCAGACTTCTTGTTATACTTTATCTTTTAAACCTATGGAAAAATAGTCAACGTAATTTCTTCCAACAGACTTCCTGTAGTATCTACTTTATTTTCTACAGGGAAAACTAACAAATGTCTTTTCTTAAAAACTTCTGTTATTTTTTCTCTCTAGGTGTAAAATATTCTGTGAGATATTGTGTGTCCCCTTTGAAGACATAAAATGGAAGCAGAGATTTTGAAACGCCGCAAATGAGACACACATTTTTGCAGTTTCACTATCAATATTGATGTGTACTATAGCTCCACAGAGAGGCATACTCTGTAAAAACGTATGATTAATTAATAAACAATAACTTACACTTTCTAATGCAATACTGCCAAATTTAATCTTCAGATCACCATCTACTTTTTTCTTCCATGTGAAAGAGCTTTTATCCAAAGTATATGAGGCGGAAGATTCTGCAGTGGAGGTCAACATTTTCAGAGTTTCTTGAAAGTAGTCCTCTTCAGTCTTTCCGAGTAATTTACTCCATAATGAGATTTGCTCCGGCCCAAACTGAAACACGAATTGAGGTCTGATAAGATAATACTTTAAAATAAGACAAAATGTTCACAAACATTGCAGACAAGGAATTTTAAGACCATGCTCTGCAGTTAATTTTCTCTCTTGAGAAGTATGGTTAAAATGAAGATGTCAAAATATGTAATTTTAATTTTGTTGAATGAAGTAAGAACATCTCGCCGTTTCCCTAACAGAAGAACTTAACTTCATTTCAGGATTGCAAAATTGGCTGTATCAGTTTGATTTTTATTACAAAAATGTGATTGTACAGTTTTTGTTCAAAATTTAGCTGATTTTTACATGTGATTAGAGGAAAAAACCATGTAAACCAGTTGATTTTTCTTTCTTTCTTTTAGCGAATGAGTGAAAGAAATAATGGAGAAATAAAACACATTGGGAGGGGGGGGGGGGGGTCGATTAATTTTTTTGTGAGTGATAAAATGGACCCATTTGAACAAAAGAAAAAAAATAATAGCCGCCCTGGATGAGTAATTATTATGCAAGCTTAAACATACGTAATAAAATTAAAATCCAATAAACTTATCTCCTTATCTATAGGATCAATCATGATTACTGAGATGGCATATGGAGCAGTATTTTTGAAAAGACTGGTCAGATCTACATGGTGGAGGGAATGGAGAGGGGGGGGGGGTTGCAGAGCTGTAACATCCATACACTTGAAGTTAGATAAGATCAGTATAACCTTAATTTCAACACAAGCTAGATGTGAGTTCATAAAGTTAAGTTCCATCATAAAAATGAGTACTGATGAAAAAAAAGTTTTTTTAACAGGTGCATCCGGACTTCTGGGGAGAGCTATATACAAAAAGTTTAAGTCAGGAGGATGGGATATTCAAGGGACTGCTTTCACCAGGTAAGTTATGAAAGCTGTTTGGTTTTTAGGTTAGCTGAAGGGCAATGAATGCTAAGATGATCATTGTATAAACATGACCCGACAGCGCAATACAGTAAACATACATGATGCTTTCCAATACAGTAAAATTTTTTGAAAAATGAAAAGTTGAAATTAAATGTACAATATTTTCGGTTTAGATGATTTCTGTAAAAATAATTGAGAAATATTTTTTTTCCTGTTAAACAGTAGCACAATAGGTGCCCATGGAAAATAGTTCTAAAAGCTTTGGAGACACCTGTTGCTCATGAATATACCTCGTGCCCATTGTTGGGGGGTGATATTTTTGACGGTAACTATAGAAAATGAACATACGGCAACTGTACTTTTAAAATTTCCATTCATGATTGGTATTTTCTTTTTTTGAGAAAACTTACTCTCATTACTGCATGAAATTCTTGGGGAATTATCTGCTGGGAGAGGGGGGGGGAGGATTCAGAAGATTTTAAGTATGAGTACTGATTAGTTCATCATGAAAAAAATTAAATTTTACAGGCCATTAAAACACCATGATGTAAAAATGTCTAGCTGATTGGACCATTACAATAAGATGATTTGGATTGCATTTGGCAAAAAGGAACCGGCGCGATTACAGTGTTTCCAAATTCGTGCGACTTCTTCTTTTCTTTCATAGATACCTAAGATATGTACCGTAATCAAATTCACACAATTATTTTGCTTTAAAATTAACAATTTTTTAGGTGGAAGAAAACACCATTCGCTATTCTGGAAGATTTTTTAGACACTTATAAAGAAGCAACATTTTTACAACACTGTAATCATGCTGGTTCCTTTTTGCTAAATGCAATCCATTTATGAAAGTATTAAAAGTTAATGGATCATTAATCCAATCAATAATTTTAAATTCCCGATTAAAAAAAAATCTCCAAAAAATATATGATGATATACAAGGGAAAGATTGGAAGTAGAGAGGAAAAAGGAAGGTGCAAAATTAAAAATGAAAATGAGGAAAAGATACATACACAGCCTCAGCATATTAAAGATACCTTAATGATGGATAGGTAAATAGATAACTTCCTACAGGGTTACCGAGGATTTGATAAAAGTGGACATAACAAACGAAAAGGAGCTGAAAGACACTGTTGCAAAATTTCAACCAAAATTCATAATCCACTGTGCGGCTCAAAGGTTTCCCGATAAATGCGATAAAAATCCCAAGGAGGCAGAGCTGCTGAATGTGACAGCGACCGAATACATTGCTGCAATTGCACGTAAGTATTTGTTCTTCAACTGTTTGGAGGAATAAAATCGTCACGGATACAGAAAATTCAACCCACTTATCTATATCGTGCATACCTGGTGAAATTAGAAATTTTAGAGGAGGAAGTTTTAGATGATGTATGAGAGAATTTACCAAGACTTTTAAGTTGACGGTAAAAATGTCAGCAAACGCATTTTGCAATTTGAAACTATAATTTTTGGCCCGGTTAAAAACAACGTATGTGCCATTAGTTTCCCTGAGTACATAAGTGTTTTTTCAGATGAGCCAGACTTTATAGTTCCTCATGGCAAAATGCGGTCCAATTAATACCTAAGATACTATGAGTAAGGACAAGGAGATATGAGGTTCCACACTTTTGCCATCGATTTGTGAGCATTTTTCCAAACAAAGAGACTGTGGAATACTCTCTTTGAAAATGATACTATCTACTTAAGTTTTTTCCCATGAAGGTTCTTTCCAAGTACAATCGTGTATTTTGAGGATGAATATTACTTAATTAGATTGCATTTGACCTACTTTTCAGAACAAAGAATGATTCCCTTGATATTCATCAGCACAGATTATGTCTTCGATGGAAAAAATCCTCCCTATCAGCCAATCAGCGAACCGAATCCAGTGAATCTTTATGGTAAAACCAAGGCAGAGGGTGAAACGATTACTCTGAGCAAATCTCTGAGTAAGTGCATTTTTGACAATTTTTAAGGAGTATTATCAGAGACTGTAAAAAATCTAAAAAAATATATTCTAAACAATCTGATAAGAATATTTTTCTTTTTTCACTGTAAACAAATGGAAAACTTGAATTCTCATATTTTTCAAATCATATAGGTATTTATTGTTAGACTAACTCCCAGAAACAGAACCATCAGTCAATCAAGGCAACTCCCTTGCTTTCAAAATTGGACTTAAAATCCTGAATTTTTGTTTCTAATATCCACGGTGAAACCACTAGACCATGTATCTTGTTTGCAGTGTTTAAAAATCTCTGCTCCCATTTTATTTTTTTGAAGAGGAACAAATCAATATCATTTGTTGAAGTTTTCACAGAGCTTTCTTCTCACAGAGAAGGAAAATCACAGAAGTATTTAGGAATTGACGCTGAGTAGTTTTCCAGTTGCAAAATAAAAAACGACAGAAAGTTTGCAACGTTGCAAACCGAGATACGTGGTGTGATAGTTTCACTGTCGATATTTAACTGCCACTAAAATATTAAATACGAAGCTTGACACAGAAGTTTCCGTGTGGAAACTTTTGGAGCACATTGAATTAATCTTGTTGCTGTTTTTTTCATGTGACCATGAGTACTTTCAGATTAATTTCTTGTCAATTTAGGTAATGAGTAGGTAACCCTGCAGCAAAGTTTTTTCTTCCTTGCAGAAAATATGATTTTACGAGTTCCGGTCTTGTACGGACCGGTGACCAGTTTATCAGAAAGTGCAGTGACCTCCCTCCTTCAGAACTTGCTGAATACAGAGAAACCAATTACAGTTTCAAACTATGAAAAAAGGAGGCCTGCTCATGTGGATGATATAGCTTCCATTTGCTTTGATTTGCTTCAGCAGAAAATCAAGGTAAGTTCCTTTTCGAGGATCCATTCATTCATTGGTTGAAAAAATATTAGAACATAGACGTGTCTTTGAAAAAATGCCAAAGGCTTTTGAAGTTAATCTCATTTCTAGAGCAGGGAAAAAGATATTTTAGAATCGAAGTAGTAGGGAGTATTTTTCAGATTCAGATTAATCAAATTTCATCATCTAATTTTGGAATAAATCTTGAAAGGAAAGAGTAAATTTTATCCTTTAAAAAAATTGAGGCAAAAGTAATTACCTACTTAAAAAAAACTGACTTGAAAATTTATTTTTTCCGCTTTCATCTTCAGCCCTTAAAGGGCATTATATAACGTCTTTGGTGGACTGCAGATAATCTAAAGCGCGAATATATGGACCACGGAAAGCCAAGACTTTACTGCATTGCCTCCTAGCTCATAGTTAAGGTTCTACCGTTGGATACACCTATGCTGTAAATCCTTAAACAATAATTATTTTTTCAGGATCCAGAACTGAAAGGAATTTTCCAATGGAGCGGTGAAGAAGTCTTTACCAAGTATCAAATGATTCAAGTGATGAGTGAGGTTTTCAACTTAAAAATGGATCACATAACGCCTGATTCGAAGGAACCAGACCCTAGCGCAGCAGCAAGACCATTTGATGTTACGCTTGACTCATCTAGGTTAAAATCTCTGGGAATTCATCATCATACGATTTTCAAGGAAGGAATTAAAAGAGATCTTGCAAAATGGGTGCAAAAATGAGGATGAACATGAGACAGTATTCCCATTACGTGAGATGAGAGAGAGACCACATTGTAACAGCATCTTTTGATTAGAATGACCAGAAGATTCTCTTGGCTTCAAGGCATTTTTCCTTCAAGTTTTAAGACTGACTGATTTTAAACACACTCAGTGAGTACTTAAGGTACGCCAGACTGTGATTTTTTCAGAAATATTAACCTAGCTGTTCAGAATTAGATTATGTTGTGAAAAAATAAAGAAACTTGAGTTAAACAGCATTTCTAGCTTGTAAATCTTTGCCTCAAAATAAACCTTAAAGCCATGTAACATTGCTGATAGCAGGTTTTCTCAAGTTATAATTGAGACCTTAGCTGGAGCAAGCTGAGCTCAATGGCAGGACTAATAAATGAATGTACTTACGCTAGAAATAACTAGAGATGTGTGGGAAACATGGAGGTGCTTGTTTGAGCTGCATTTGAAATAATGTAATAAAGGGTATGATTCCCTTAGGGAAAATGGAAAGCTGGGATTTTACATTAAATCAAAAGGAACTATTTGTAAACCAAAATATGCTTATGTGAACAGGATTTGGGAGTTAAAGAAATTCGTGGGCGGCCACAGAGGTGGCGGCATCGACGCTGATGTCACTGAAGCCCTTTAGTTCTCTTTCCTTCTCACGACCCTCAACTAGCAAGCACCGTCGTTCCTTCCTACACCCCTGTGGTTCCTTTCAGCATAAATAAGTATATCCAAGTGTCCTCTCATTTTTATATTTTTGGTAATCCATGTTACTTCTTCAATAAATAAATCAAACAAAATCTTTGGAAGGGGAAAAAAACTATGCCGTGTGGGCACCTAGTGAGCCTAAATGGTGAATCCAGCTCTGAGTTAGTCCCATCATCAGCGTAGCATAGCTTCCTGATTTTCCGCTCCTGCAATCTAAGTAATGCCCAATCCTTCGACTGGTTTGGCAACCTATCCAAGACTGGAGGTAGAAAATCAGAAGGCTGCGCCGCACTCATGTGCTGATGATAGGACCAAGTAAGGGAATGTGTCCTCAGTTGCCTTCCTGATTGGTCGCAACCAAAGTTCCATCAGACAGCACATCTCTCTAAGGGGAAATTTTACTCGCATGAGCTTTCTCTGTCCATAATGAGAATTTTAATTTATAACTAAAGTTGAGCGCATGCTGACCCAAACAAACAAATCCATCTGAATCTTTTTCCAGCAAGGGGCGAGCAACTTTTTTGTTCATCATGATTTTCACTTGACAGCACGTAGGGATGTATACAGCAAAATCAGATTCATGAGCAGTTCTTAAACCAAAAGCTTACCTTTCCAGTCCAGGCGTTGTTCTCTTCTAAGATGGTTAAAGTCCCTTCCCTCTCTCGCCATTCGCTTTTCACTCTAAGTTTGTGGTCAGGGTTGTTGTCGTTGAGGAGACAGCACACATATTTTTGGACGGGATTATCCCCGTTCATTGTCTATTTTAGTGTTGAAGACGAAAGAGTTAGATCTCCATGACGAACACATGTGCAAGGAGCTATGAAAGATGATTGAGAATTGAGAATGGGAAGTGTGGGAAGAAATGAATTGTGCAGTTCGTAGGACCTGGCAGGAACTCTTCTTTGTCGAAGCACTTTTCAAGAGTATCTTAAATTGCAAAGGTACTGAAATATCATAATAGTATCTAGTAACGTTACCCAGCGGAGAGAATAGAGGACAATTACAAGAGAAATCAACTAGTATTCGTGAAATTTCAGTCGTTTATAATGCAATTTTCACCGGCAACGGCACTCACTCGTTTCCACGCTTGTTTACAATATTATTCATGGTTGTCAAAGTGAACGTTAAAAAGAAAATAAAAACAATTGTTTCTTTAAATTCTCAATCAAATTTGTAGCAACATGACAACTTGACACGAATTTGCATCAGTCAGCAGATAAATCCATCGATGGCTGATCAGCTGTTGTGATGTGTTTACAATTTATGACAACATACATTTTGCTGGAGCTTTTTTGCACCTTTTGCCACTTAAATTAGCTATGAAATGTCAAGTATAAGAGTGTCTTGTGCTTTAGTTCGAACTTCAGTGTTTTAGAATTTCCCAGCGGTTATCTTTTCTTTCCATCATGATCACTTAATCTTGTCACACTAATGGTTTGTGGCCCTTCGCTGCCACACAATCACTATCGGTTTTCAGAACAACTTGAGTGTTTAAGTGCAAAATTGAGGTTGAATATTAGGGATAATGGGATAATGTTGAAACTAACTTTTTTTCTTACGTTTATTTTTGGAATATTATTCTCCATAGTCTTGCACAAGCTATCAATATATCTTACCACTGACTCCGTTCGTTATGTTCCACCCGATACCAAAGTATTCACTTTAATTCCCTTTGAATCATCTCTACACAATGATATTTTGGACATAGCACCTCGACCTTCAGATGTAGAGCCTTCGTGTAAGTGTTACATTAATAACATTTAAGCACTCAGGAGAACTTAATTTTTACATCAGAATGCCTCATTGAGCAGTCAGTGGTTTTACTACATCCAGCAGAGAAGATTTTTCATTGTATGTAAGGTACAACATTTACACAGACAGACAGAAGGTAACCCATGAATGGGAGGAGTTACCTGTATCTTGTTACCACATATAGAGCTTTCAACTGAGAAGAACCGGTTGACTTAGATGTCGATTTTATTACACTCCGTGTCGACTAATGTTGGCACCATACCTCAGAGGCGGCAGTGACATATTGCACCAGTGGTCTCCTAGAATCATCAATGGATGGATGTTGCCTACATGAAGGGAAAGGCTGTAACCATCTGCAAGTGACATCTTGCCAGTGGATGAAATTCGGCCTTGGTTGAACATGCATTCGTTTTGTAACAATATGTTCTCAAGAGTTGATCTAATGTAAAAATTCTTACGACCCTTTTCAACACGAGAAGAAATTTCACTTTGGAAGCAGACTAGTCTATTGAGAATGATAATTGGAGAAGCAAAGGCTAGGTACCGAAAATTGTATATCTACTACAATTCAAGCAAACCGCTCACACAGCTGTAGCTGATCGGAGGCGACTCTGACTGGTGTATGTGGTGACTGCCTCACTCATCGATGCTCCAACGACTCGGAAATGATCGTTGTCATTCAGTACATTTTCATCAGTCGTGTGATATCATGGAATGAAGTAACGAAAATGAAGCAAAGGCCTCTCCCTTCACTAGGCAGTGAAATGAATCGTGCAGCTTGAAAAGACATGCTTCCTAAAAGTGTCTTTCGACCATGTTTTTTTAAAATTTTTAGCCCACTGAACATGACTTATGACATTATATTTCAACTTAATTTTTCCTAGTTTTGATTTTGTGAAGGAACTTTCTTGGAAAATCAAAGTGGCAAATTTTTTCCTCACCTGAGAAAAAAATCTGTGTGTGGCAAAAGAAATTGATGTCCTTTGTAAATGCTCAAATGATTTTATCCCCTAAAATGTGAGAGAATGGAACGGAAAATACGAGGAATAGGTATTACGTACTGCATCTGTGTAGCGAAATAAATTTAGCATAGAGGAAAACATAAGTATAGAAAAAGCATTTAAGCATTCAGTTAGGAGAAACAGAAAGAAATATTTAATGAAGAAAGGCTATTGCATCTTGTTAGTGCAAGTATCTACCAGTTTTCGTATCCACTAGATAGCCGTTGAAAAAGCAATTGATATTTCTGCTAACCTACAATAACTGAGCTCTATGATCAATACATATTTCAGGCTAACAATTTTTTCTTGAAATTTTCAGATTCTGAAGGTGAAGCTGTAGCATCGCTGCAAATAGCGTTGGAAGTTTGGAAATCTGGAAGATTGGATAAAGCGAAGAAATTATTTGAGCACGCCGTCACATTAGCGCCTAAATGCCCAGATATTTTAACTTATTATGGAGAGTTCCTTGAAGAGAGTCAAAATGACATCTTAGCTGCTGACCAGTTGTACTTCAAGGTGAGATCTCAATCCACCTTGAATTTGAATTCATTGAACTGTATCCTGGGAGTTAAACTAGTCTGGACCGAAAATCATCAAATTCCATCACAAAAATTGATCCATTTAAACTTTCTCAAATTTTCCTCTTTCGGGAAAATTATCACCGTTTTTATCAAAACTGATAGTTCAAGATTCTAGTTGAATTTATTTTATTATCTTTATCAGGACACACAATATTGCAATACTGATTTTTGGTCGATTAATGCTAATACAAATGAGAGGTTGGTAATTAAATCAAACTAAGCCCAAGTTTACAGAATCTTGTTGATAAAACTTCTAGCCAAAGCCTGATCATTCTTAGAAATTTTCTTTCCAATGTCCAAAACTCTACGATTATGACCATTTTGATGACAGTGTCACCATCATCAGATCATTGTGCCAAAAACATTAAGATAAGAGTCACAACTAACTAAGGTTGCATGTTAATGTGGATGAAATAAATAAAATGAAAAGAAAATGAGATCACAACCAAACTAAAGTATCCAGTTTTGATTTTGCAAATTTTTTCAATCAAGTTTCCAGACGGATAAACCCTCTAGCTTTCCTACTTTTAGCGTTTAATTTGACACAGTTGGCTTTGTTCGTGGCAGCATTGAACCTCCTTAAATTCTGATTTTGTGTAGGCATTGGTCCAAAGTCCAAATCATCGGAGGGCAATCACAAACAGGCAACGCACAGCATCTTTGGCTGAGGAAATTGACAGGACAACGTTAAGAAGGATCGATAAGAAAAGGGATCATGTTGCAAGCATACCAGACTCTGATCCAGCTTTACAAAAAGCTAAGAAAGAATCCTACTTCCAGGTAAAACCCAATGTAACGATAAATGTTTAGTTTTTAGAAAGTTTTACAATCTGAATGAAAGATTTTAGTGTAGTTTTGTACATATTGTCAAACGATCTTTCATCGCTTACAGTTTGAAATGCTTTGTCGGAACTGGCAGACTTCTAGCTAAGTAGTTCTATAAACTTCACGCAAACTCAAGTACAGTCATAGGGTAACTTCCGAGGTTGCCACAGTCAGGGAACACCGGGAAATGTCAGGGAATCTTAAAAAGTCGGGGAGAATGCTGGAAGTGTCAGATAACAATTGTCAAGTCATCTTTACTTGTTTTCTTTCCAGAATGGATTTGACGTTTTGAACAACAAATGCTTGAAAATTATCTCAAATAATGTCTATTTAACCATATTGCATATTTTCAATTGTCAGGGAAATCAGGGAAATGTCAGATAATTTCCTTTTCTAAATTCTGCGGCAACCCTACTTCTCTGGACATGTTCCAAAAGAACTTTATGAATAGTTTTTTGAACTAACCATGCTGAATTTGGCGGAAGTTAACGTAGATGAGATATATCTTGTTATTTACAATAACTGTACCAGATTCGACAAGCAAAAACAACAACAGCAATTAAAGACAGGATACAGGCTGGAAACCGAGCCTATTACGCAAACCTGAAGATGCTAAAGAGCAAACTGTTGTCCAGGAGAACAAAGATGCAAATTTACAAAACGTTAATAAGACCAGTAGTAACGTATGGTGGTGAAACCTGGACCATGACAGAAGGAGACCAGCACATGCTGAGGCGATTTGAACGGAAAATCATACGAAGAATTTATGGAGCGGTGAAAATCAATGAAGAATGGCGAATTAGAAGCAACCAAGAAATAGAAATGATCCTAGAAAATGAAGATATCGTAAGGTTTATCAAATCGCAAAGGATAAGCTGGCTTGGCCATGTACAAAGAATGGAAGAAGAAAGGATGCCGAAGAAGGTGCTGAAAGCTAAAATATTGTCAGCAAGAAAGAGAGGAAGACCTGGGCTTCGGTGGCTAGACGGAGTTGAGCAAGACCTGAAGAAAATGCAAATAAAAGGATGGAGTGGAAAAATCAAAGACAGAGGGACGTGGAGAGAAATTGTTATGGAGGCCAAAGCCCACCCAGGGCTGTAGCGCCGTTAGTAAGTAATAGTAACCAGATTCGACAATGATAGCTTGTTGCACTTTTTGATTCACTAAGTTTTTAAGTTAAGAGAAAACAATTTTTTCATTCTTTACTCATTGTCTGTTTCTTTCTTTTTCATTCTTCAGCACATTTACCACACCGTCGGAATTGAAGGAAACTCAATGACTTTATCCCAAACGAGATCAATCGTGGAGACAAGGATGGCAATCGGTGGAAAAAGCATAGCTGAGCATAATGAGATTTTGGGACTGGATGCTGCATTGAAGTACATTAATGCAACTTTGATCAAAAGGTAAAGTCTTCTGAATTTTTCTCCTATTTTCGCAGGCATTGAGAAAAAATTCATTGTGCGTAACTCATACAGGATTTTATGAATTATAAAAATTCATGGTAGGGATGAAGAGGAAAAAGAATTAAAACAAAAAATCTACAGGTACAATATAATAGATTTAATGTTAGCAAGTAGGCAAAACTGGTTCATATTATATAAATATAAATATATTAAAGATACGTTAGAAATTAAGAATGAAAGCTATAAAGTACCGACCAACAATGTCAATTCACCATCAACTAACAATCAATTCACCTATTTTGAAAAGAGAATTTCAGCGCTTGAAATGCTAGCTAATCAACTCTCTCAGCAGATCGCGCTTCTGATGAAGGTTATCGGGGCTCTTTCTCCTGCAACTGCGGCTTTTCCGTTGGTGCTGGGTGAGGGGGTTTCCGAGGCCTTTTTTGCTTCTAATCTCTTCCTATCGCCCTCACCGCTCGTTTTCTCAATTTTTGATTAACACTTGCGGTGGGTGTGAGATGAAGTGATAAATTCTCAACACCGTCGTATCAGATTCGGTGTTGATCTTTCGAACTGTGCAGACGTGTTTTGTAGAGCGCTCGTGAGACGGTAAAGCTTTTGGTTCGGCTCGCGGCCCGGGCATCGCGGCGCGCAGCGACCGCGAGATAACGTAAACAAAGTGCGGTTACGGCCGAAACTTCTATGTCGCTGTTGCCACACAAGTGTAAACATGGTGTGTATTGTTTTTGGAGAGACGATCAGTTCATCGGCTGTCAAAAATGCTACATCAGAGGAAAACTTGACTTCCTGAAATCGAGTCCAGCAAGAGTGAAAAATATGACGGATAAAAATCCGTTTGAGAAGAGTTCGCTCCTTTCAAGATCGCCCCAGGGGACAACCACGAGGACGAATACCGATGATAAAACAGATGATATAGCCACACCAGTATCAGTTGAAACATCGAATCAGACTCACCCTGAAATTTCAGTCAAGGAAATATTGGAAAAGGCTGAGGTGGTGATCAAAGAGGGTATTTCCATCACTCACAATGATACGAAAGCCATAAATCAGGTGCAAGGCCTTAAAAGCACGATTGAAGGACTTGTTAACATCGTTAAAAAAGAGGAAGAAAAAAAAGAAGAACAAAAAAAAATAATTGATGACCTTCAAAATAGATTGCTCGCGCTTGAAAAAAAGGAGCAAAGACATTCTGAAACTCGGAGAGAAATCCCCCAGCCTCAAGCAACCTACTCAGGGAAGTACGCAATTCTTAGCAATGATGGAGAAAACAACGAGGATGATCCAATGGACGATGAAGACCCAGAAGATCAAATCGTGGAAGAAGAAACTGACTGGATACTTTGCAAGCAGAAGAGGAAGAGAAACGAAGGAAGTGACTCATCCCCACAAACAACTCAGGCTAAGAAAGGAAGGAAAGCGGATACAGCGCGGTCCGGAAGCAGAGGAGGTGCCGAGAAAGTCGCCACATCTAGTAAAAACACCAATGGTTCGTTCAATAGCTCTAATGATAAAGATAAAAACAAAGGTACTAAAAATACTGAAAATAAAAAGGAAAATGAGGTGAGCAAGAAGCTAGTTCCTCCTCCATTTAAGGTTACCCAATTAAAATCAATCAGCGAGGTTAAAAAATTTGTTGAAAACATCGATTCTGATAAGTATAAATTAACAGCATTAGTTGGCAACGTCTGGAAAATTAATACTGCAGACCACGAAACTTATAGATTAGTTAGAGAAAACCTTGAAAAACATAATGCTAAATGGTACACATTTTCAGACAAACATCTTCGTCCAAAGGTTTTTGTAGCTAAGGGGATGCATTCTACCACTGATCTAGATGAAATTACAGAGGATCTTACATCCAAAGGTTTTAATATTGTTAAAGTTGTTAATTTGCTAAGCAAAAAAGACGAAAATGGGAAGAGGAAAGGTCTTCCATTACATCAAATCATATTCGATAACAAAGATGATACTAAGAAAATCTTTGAAATTAAATTTATAGCACATCAGAAAGTAGAAATCAAAAATGTTAAGCACAATCCGGCAAGGATTCCTCAGTGCCACCGTTGCCAGGGGTTTTTGCATACTCAAGCATTTTGTCATAAAGATCCTAAGTGTGTTAAATGTAGTGGACCTCATTTGAGTTTCTTATGCGCTGAGAAGAAAGTGGATAGTCCAAAATGTGTGAACTGTGGTCAAAAACACACAGCAAATTATTCCGGTTGCGAGATCGCTAAGTTTTTCAAAGAACGTAGGCTGGCAGATTTAAACAAGAAAAAACAAAAAAATAGTGGTAAAGAAAATTCAGGAAATAAATTAAGTCAGAGACCAGTCAGCAAAAATGTATCTTTTGCTAGAATGGCTAGCGATGGTAAATCCAACGATAAAGAAAATTCCGAGAGTCTGATGGAGAAAATACTTAATTTCTTAAATGAACAAGCAACTATTAATGCTCAAATTCTTTCTAGGCTTGATGCTCTAGAGGGAATACTTCTTGGCAACGATGGCACATAGGGTGCCTCATAGCAGAAGGCCAGGACCTCCTTCGAATAGTTTCAAAAGAATTCCTGGTAGTCACTTTGACAGGGATAAAATCCCCACTTACGTTGAGTCTAATTTAAATTGTATTGAAACAATTAAATTTGATAAGATTAGAATTGTAGCATGGAATGCTAACGGACTGACGGCAGAGAGGAAACTAAAATTATCAAATTACATAGATTTTTACCAAATTGATGTGGTGTTGTTGTCAGAGACTCACTTTTCCGACACTAGTCACTTTAAGAAGCGTGAATTTAATGTCCACTGGGTTAATCACCCTTCTGATAATGCTCGCGGGGGAGTCGCTATCATGGTCAGAAAAGAATTTCAATACTTTATATGCAATGAAACTAAATCTGAAGCGATTCAATCGATAGCAGTTACTATGAAAACAGAAGTAGGGGATATAACAATTGCTTCCATTTATTGTCCTCCTGGACCTAAGATTAAACATAATGATTTTTCGGAATTCCTAAAAACTCTGGGGAACAGATTCATTGCTGGCGGGGACTGGAATGCTAAACATATAAGATGGGGTTCTAGAACCACCCTAACAAGAGGAAGAGCGTTGAATTCTGCAGTAAGAAGCATTAATGGAGACTATGTCTCTTTTGGGAGTCCCACACATTGGCCGACTGACCCAACAAAAAAACCAGATGTAATAGATTTTTTTGTAGTTAAAAATATTGCTATGAACTCAATAGATTGTGGTGAAACCGATATAACTAAGGAATTAGACTCTGATCACTCTCCCATTAATATGGACATGTATAATTCAGCTATTTTAAAAGAGGTAACCACTTCAATAACAAATAAAAAAACGGATTGGAAAGCATTTAGAGAAGAACTAAATTCAATTGTTACGTTAAAAAATCCTATAGATACACAACAGCAAATTGAAGACGAAGTCGCACTTATCACTGAGCAGATCATTACAGCAGCAAAAAGAAATACTCCAATTGTTAGACGAACGAAATTAGCCCCTAAAGTTCCTCATGAACTTCTGGAAATAATTAGCGAGGCCAGGAAGGTTAGGAAATTATGGATGAAAGAAAGAACTAATGCACTAAAAAATAAATAAATAGAGAGGTCTCAAAAATGAGCTGGTTTTTTAAAAATAAAGAAACTGAAAATTTTCTGAAACACTTAACACCTACGGCCCCTACTGATTATTCCCTCTGGAAGGCGACAAAGTACCTTAAAAATCAGATTTTTTATTCACCGCCCATATTAGATAAACATAATGTTAAAGTAAAAGACGATGAAGGGAAAGCTAAAGTTTTCGCTGATCATTTGGAAAGTATATTCACTCCTAGGAAAAGTCTTAAGGACGAATGCGATCTTGCTGACAAATAGAAGAGCGAGACAATTTGGAAGTTCCTAAAATTACAAAAACAGAATTATTTGATCTAATTAAATATAAAGTTAAATTAAAAAAAGCCCCGGGCGCTGATGGGATCACTGGTGAGATTCTAAAACAGCTCCCAATGAGAGTGATTGCCAAACTAGCCGAAATTTTTAATGCAATTATTACAATAGGATATGTGCCAGAATCCTGGAAGACTGCGGAAGTAATTGTTATCCCGAAACCAAATAAACCCATGGAAAAGGTAGATTCCTACAGGCCGATTTCATTATTGTCAGTGGTAAGTAAACTATTTGAAAGGGCTTACTTAAAAAGACTATTGCCAATTTTAGAAGAAAGAAAGATAATACCAAATCACCAATTCGGTTTCAGGGCGTCACATTCTACCATAGAACAAGTGCACAGAGTTGTGAGTCTTATAGAGAGAACATTGGAAAATAAAGAAGTATGTTCGATGATTTTTTTAGATATTTCAGCAGCTTTTGATAAAGTCTGGCATCTGGGTCTTCTCTTCAAAATACGAATTTTTTTACCATTTAATCATTATAAGCTAATCAAATCTTACCTGGAGAACAGAAAATTTAGAGTTAGATTTAATAATTGTTATTCAACATATAGAAGAATAAAGGCAGGAGTACCGCAAGGATCATGCCTGGGCCCATATTTATACAATATCTTCACTAGCGACATCCCAAAACCGAAGAGGGGCTTTATCGGCACTTTTGCAGATGATACTGCCTTAGCAGAAAGAGACAAAGACATATTTATCTCTAATCATAGATTACAAAAAGCTATCGATGAAATGGTTGAGTGGGTTTCTGACAATGGCGCCACGCCCAACGCAGGTAAATCTGCTCATACTGTTTTTACAAATAGGAAAATACCACAATTACCAGTTCTCATAGAAGATGAACAAGTTCCTTACGTTACAAGCGCTAGATATTTAGGAGTTTATTTAGACTCTAGACTTACTTTTAAAGATCACATCAGAATCAAGGTGAAAGAATTAAATAAAAAGTATAAAAAAATGTATTGGTTGTTAGGCAAAAGATCAAAATTGTCAAAGAAAAACAAAATTTTGCTGTATAATCAAATATTAAAACCTATATGGCAGTATGCTTCACAACTATGGGGTTGTGCAAGCAAATCTAATATAAATAAGGTAGAAAGATTCCAGTCGAAGGTTCTACGAGAAATTATTGGAGTACCATGGTTCGTAAGGAACGAAGACATAAGGAGAGAATTAGAGGTACCCACGGTTAGACAAGTAATTGCTGAGACAACGAAGAGATATGAATGTCGTATTGAAAAGCATATCAATGTAGAGGCTTTAAACCTTTTAGATAGTACAATACCTGTGAAAAGGTTAAAAAGGTGGGAGACCTTTGAACTCCCATCAAGATTTAAGTAGTCTGTAAGGTATGAGTGAGAGTGTGAATGGAGTGTGAATGAGGGTGAAAGGAAGAATGCAAAACCATTAAACTAAAAACCTTTATGTTATAATACATTTAAGAAAGAAGGCAGAGAATTTACAATTCCTGTTCTTTTAGATAATCATAGTATTATCTAACGTTAACATATAAAATTAATGCAGTTTGTTAAGTTTTAGTTTTAAGCCACGTAGATAGATACAAGAAACACTTGTAGTAGTTACGATATATTTAAATAAAATTTCTTTTAAAAAAAAAAAAAAAAAAAAAAAAAACACCGTCGTATCAATTTATGACTCTTTAATTTATTATTGTCTCTCATTGTTAGTTTTGCTCTCAGGTTTTTTCTGACTAATCCTTACAACTACTCTCTAATCTCATATATTTTATCCTAGGTCAGTCTTTATTTATTGTAATCAAATAGTTTTGTATTTTGTTTTCTTCTGACGATCTATGGTTTCAACCGCATACGCCCGTTTATTTCTGTATTTTATGTTGAATCTCGGAAATAAATAAGTTAAAAAAAAACAATGTAAATAATTCTAAGCAACCTCCCCCGATGTAAAGCCCTCAGGCGTTCCCAGGGCTATATGAAGTTCGGTTTTGTTATTTTGGGACAGTTACTCTTAAGTATTTTTTTTTAATACTTATGTCATCATGTAAATCCGATACACTTAATAAATAATTTTAAAAAAAAAAGAAAAAAGAGAATCCGAGTCAGCCCACCAACACCAATCGTATTAAGTAAGTATAAGTATGTAGTGAAGAGTGAGTATAGTAAGTAATAAGCAAAACAATTGTAAAAACTGTAATGTTTAAAATTTGTATCCTGAGGCTAGCTCAAAAATATTGCTAAAAAATTTTAGTCAGAAATTCTAGTCTTTTAAAGTGAGTAATGTATGTATGTGTATCTTTTTTCATCTGATTTCAGTCTTGCGGCAAAGCTATACAGACTCTAGATTTTGCTGGAGGCTCCCAAAAAGTTTTCACACTTTCAGGCTATGTCCCCTTTTCCAAAAATTTAGGCTTTGAGTCTATCCTCTGATAATTTAGAGCACCTACTGACGAAGATTTAGAACCAAGCGAGGGGAATGAGGAATGAATCTTTTGGGAGAATGTTACAACATTGAACTGTGACTTAAACTTTCAAGAAGGCTCTGAATGCAAGCATCTTCTTTCCGTATGAAACCGAACATCTCCGAATAGCCCAATGTAAAAAATGTCTCTCTCTAGGCCAAACAGTAATTAGAAATAAATACACAAAAGTTCTGTCAAGCTTGTTAGTTTTAGTTTACTTGAAACTTAATCTACTACGAGTTCCGTGTACAGTTTATCTTTTGATAGTAGGTGTTGCAAGTTGTTCTGTAAGAAAGTACAACTTCATTTAAGAAGGTAGTAAAAAGCAAAAGTTCAAGAAGGGAATTTGTTATTGAGGAACTTAAAGCTGTTATTAAGGAACTTAAAGCCTCCACTCCGAATATTCCACTGTTAAAATTAATTCACTGTTTTTCAGACTTGGTAAAATTTCCATGGATGACATTTCAGAAATTCATCAACGAGTCTTGGGGTTTGTTGATCCAATCGAGAGTGGCGCTTTCCATCAGACGCAAGTCTTTGTCGGTGGTCACATCCCGCCGAGAGAAAGACAATGCTAACATAGAATAAAAAAACGAAATAAAATTCTCTTTTCCCGAGAAATTCTAACTCTCTTCTGTATGTAAACTAAAAGTGGTCAAATAGGTTTTGTTCTAGGTATCCACTCAACTATAATTTTCTGTCATTTCATTACTGAGTGTTATCCTCGTTTCATGTTTTTATTCATACTTCCATTCCGAATATTCCACTGTTAAAATTAATTCCTTGTTTTTCAGACTTGGTAAAATTTCCATCGACGACATTTTAGAAATTCATCAACGAGTCTTGGGGTTTGTTGATCCAATCGAGAGTGGCGCTTTCCGTCGCACGCAAGTTTTTGTCGGTGGTCACATCCCGCCGACTCCCCATCACATCCCTCCTTTGATGGAAGAGTTTGCTGAATGGCTCAACTCGGACCAGGCTCTAAGAATGCATCCAGTGCGGTATGCTGCTTTAGCACATTACAAACTAGTTCATATTCATCCCTTCACAGATGGGAACGGACGAACTTCCAGACTACTTATGAATATGATATTGATGCAAGCTGGTTATCCACCGGTGATCATCCCGAAACAAGAACGGCACAAGTGAGTTGAACATTTTATCACAAGTGGTCTCAGTTCATTTGCAAAGTTCAATAGCAAAACAAATTTAACAATTTGGTCATGACAAGTAAGGTTACATTACAAGAATTATTTACATCCACTCCCTTTAGTTCACAAAGGTATAAATATGAGTTTATAGCTTAAAAGTTTTTCTACTTTAAAGTTTTAGGGCATTCAGTAATTAAAGACTGTACCATTTAAATAAACTGTACACAAAAATAACTGGGGAAAAATCGGGGGGGGGGGGGGCGAAACCTAGTTTGGTAGATAAGAGGTGGGATAAAACTTTTTTTCAAAAAACCTAGGTGCAATTTTTTTGTATTCATGATCACTAGGTTTTTTCTATTCATCGAATTCCAAAAACACTCTCATAACTGCAGATTGTACACACATAAACCTTAAAGGTTGAAAGCTGATTGATTTGCAAGGATCTTCTGTCCACATATTGCAGCTCAAATAAAAAATAAAAGCCAGCAGTCGGACAAAATGCCCTCAGATTTTTTTATTGGTTCCAGTCCATTGCTCTTGAATTTAAATAGTTGCTTCGCCATATTTTTATCGACATCAAGGGATTATTCACCCACCGACGAATGAAAGTAAGGAGACAAATTAAAGGAAGGAGAGGAATGAAAGGAAGGAGATGAATGAAAGGAAGGAGAGGAATGAAAGGAAGGAGACGAATGAAAGGAAGGAGACAAAATGAAAAGGAGCCGGCTGCAGTCAGGCGAGATGCCCTCAGATATTTAATTTGGCGTACATTGCATCCGAGTTTAAACAACCTCCTCAATTGAATTCAATTCCAAGAAAAATTTCTTACCCACCGATTAATGAGTGAGCAAATGCAGACGAATGAGTTGTGCATCGGCGATGAAAAGCGTTTTGAGTAAAATAAAAGTAAGATAAAAATACCACACCGTAATATAAAACTTTCAAGGAGTGCATATAGAATAGACGGAACACAATTAAACTAGTGTGTGCTTGGGGTCTAAGAGATGGAAAAATGATCACAGGCTACTGCAGTGCAGCTGTTATTTATAAGAGCCGTTAAATCATTGATGGTGAAAGATGAGAGGAGGCCTATGATTGGCTACAGGCATGGAGTGACTCAATTTTAGATGTGGCAACGGGGCCCCAAATTATCATTACGAGCATCAGCAGGATGATAATTGAGATAGATAACTGAATATGAAGCAAAATGATTAAGGAGAAAGATAAAGTAAAGGAAAACTTGGAATTTTGAATTCGTAGAGACTTAAATGAGTATGAGATTTATGGCCAACGAATAAAAAATCGAGTCAGAAGAGGTAATCTCAATATGACAGTACCTATCACAGATGGGGTTGTTTGATATTTTAGTGATAAACAGAACACTGCCTTTAAAACTGAAAACTTCCATGGTAGTCATGGGGCGAATGAACCTGAAAATCAAATTTTAAGATGGAAAATAGAGCACTTATCAGTGTAAAAACTTCTTTACGTCATTGAAAACTTAAAAAAGTCAGGTCATTTCTCTAACTCTGCAAAGTCAGGAAATTTCACTTCGGAATCTTGAAATTCTTGCATCCGGCAGAAAAAATTAATTACTTTCTTCTGCTGCCACATACTTTGTAGACGGAAACTAGAACGTCTGCCTTTAAGCTTTTGAATTTTAAAATTGCACAAGACTTTGCATGCAAAGAAATAGTCGTGAAAAACATGTTCAGGAGATACCATACTAAGAAAAAAATATTGGAAAGTCCTGGAAAAGTCAGGGAATTGCATGTTCAAAAACCTTCAGATGTCATGAAAAAGTCAGGGAATTTTGAAATCCAAACTTGTCACCCTTATAATGCCTAGTTTTTTTTAATAGTATGAATTTCCTCATCTAAAATTATTATCCTTCAAATATTCAACTTAAATTAAAAGAGCTATTCTTAGAATCAAGGAACCAAATTGATATTTTTTGCAAGTTTCTGGATACATGAGTACATCTAAAACGTTTTGCTGGGAATTAATTGTTTGAAGAAAATCACTCTGAAATATTTAAAAAAGTAGACAGTGAGCTGCTCAGTTCATTCGTGGGTTTATAGACAAAGTGTAAAGTTTTTTTTTTTTCTTTTTCTTTTTTTCCTTTCCTTGCTATCCCGTAACCACATGTTTTATCACTGCCATAAATTGAATAGATTAGACTAAATACTGAAGTAACAGTTATTAATGTAATTCAATCCATGCCAATAAAGGATCTCCAAAATAAAAATAAATTAAAAAAAGATAGAAAGTGTAAAGTTGCATCATCTATACTATAAGCTCCAAGACCTCCTAATTTTGCGAAACTGGTAACGCTTAGTTCCAGCATTCTATCGGGCCGATTTTCATAATTTTTGCGGCTATCGACGGGCAATTGTCTCTAGATAAGCCAACTCTTTTCAGATTTTCAAAATATGGCCCAGGTTTTTTTATATTATGTGGTAAAGTTGCGAATTCTCCCATTTAAACTATGTAAATATATACTTTTTGTCATAGTTCGTTTGAGCGTTCTACCGGGCCGATTTCCATGATTTTTTTGTAAATCGACAGGTAATAGGCCCTAGATGAGCCCGCTGTAATCAGATTTTGGCAAAAGGACCCAGGTTTTTTTAAAATCACGATATAAAAGTGAGTGAGTTTACAGAATGCTCCGGTACTGCTACCGCTATGCGCGGGAGGATGCGCAGTGATCGAGGAGGTTGCGCAGTAGCTGTGTAGCCTGCGCATCAGCTCTACACTTATCTACACAAGATTCGCGTCGATTTTTGTACGTTGAGCGGTGACCGAGTCGTCTAAGACAGCGATTGCGTCCGCTATGAACTCGGTGTGGGTTCGATCCCCGATTTGAGAGATCTTAATTATTACCTGACTATCATTGTTCATTGTTTTACTGCAATATTTCATCAAGCAGTCATTCCAAAACGCGTCCTTTTAATTTTAAAGTAATTTTAAGTAAAATTTAAAATTAAAGTATACCGCATATCGTATTTTTTTAGGGGAAAAATAAAACTAACACTGAGAGTAGGGTAATAATAGGGCCGCAAAGCGGCCCATTGATGGCACGGAGCGCCTCCAGGGGGTTGGGCCGCGTAGCGGCCAGGGAGCGTAGCCCCCTAGTAATCTGATATTTTTTGAGCTTCAAAAACGGCCAATCATAATTTTGATCACCTCTCTCTCACAATCAAGTTTTTTACCCTGCTGTCCTGATCAAACAGTCTTAACCAGGTTCAGTATAACATTTGTGGGCGTTTCCGAGCTAAAATTTCGGTTGAGCACTCCTTTAAGAGCAGAAACTATGTATTAATTTATACTTTGTCGGCAGAAAGATCCTTTTCCCTGTAGACAACAATATCTTGTTCTAAAGTCCTTTTTTTGGACCATGTCGCAAGTCAGAAATTTTGCTCGATAAAGACAGAACCATTCAAGGAAGGATTATCGTAATTTTCACCTTTAATTTTGTTCTTTGAATTTTACAAAGATAGGGAAACATGATACAAAAAAAGGGAAGAGCTCTTTATTATCAATGATTTTGGTTCATTTCAGGTATTACCAAATGCTAGAACTGGCGAACGAAGGTGACATCAGGCCATTCATAAGGTTCATCGCTGAGTGCACAGAGCAGACTCTAAATCTATTCATTTGGGCGACCACTGAATTTGGCACAACAGTTCCAGCGCTAGACGTTGACGTAAAAACTATCATGGGTAATGATAATTGATTCTGTCACCATCTGTCGTCATTGTCACTTGTGTGTATGATCCGGCAAGGTGTCGAACAATGGCAGAAAGGGCGCAGAGATATATCTCTTCACTTTTGTTTTTAATACTCATGAATCAGGATCATTGCAACTTGGAAATTTTCAGCAACCTAAGTTGTTGATTCCAATAGAAACTTTGTGATTAATTAGAATATAGAGTTGCTGAAGTATTGGGAACGATTTATTGCTACTCTATTAAGATAAAATTGCTTGTATCATCAACATTCAAGTGATTTTCGCCATTGATTTCACTGATAGTCGACTTTGACAAAATAGCAGTTTTATCATAGGAAATCGTGATTCTTGCATCTGATTTTGTTGCATCAGATTGCTGTTGATGAGATCGCAATATTCTGTTTATCAAATTGCAACTTACAGCAAAAATTGCTACTCGCGTAGGATGTCCTAAGGTTTGGAAAAGTCTCGTATTCTACCTAGGATCAGTCTGGGATGTGGGTGAAATTTTTTCTACAGAGTAGTTGAAATAGTCACAAAAACTTAATCCTCTCTTTTTTGTGTTGGTCATGTGTTGATCAAAAGATTACGAAAATTTTCAACATTTCAGTCAAGAAAAATGTAAAAAAATCAAGAGAATCTTTCCTGGAAATTCTCTGGCATCCTGATAGCACTTTAAATTTATAAACCTCCTAAGAAGGATTAAGGAGTTTTTTTTTAAAAAAAAAAACGATTCCTTTAGGCTCATAGAAACTCTCTTGATTGTGATCAGTACAAATTAAATTCTTACTTCAACCAGAGTAGGCTATAGAATTTCAATTGATTTTTCGAAAATTTCCATTCAGCATTCAATAATACTGTTTGGTCGCTCTGTAAGTGGTGCAAACGTCTATGTCATGACCAGTTTCATCTCATATCAGACTAGATAGCACTCATCAGAAAGGATATTGATGGTGAAACTACCAGACCATGTATCTCGTTTGGGGTGTTTACAAATTTCTGCTCTCATTTTATTTTTTTGAATGAGAACAAATCAATATCATTCCTCAAAGTTTTCACAGAGTTTATGTCACACAGGAAAGAAAAATCATGGAAGTTTTCAAGAATTGATGTTGGGTAGTTTTCCATTTAAAAGATGAAGTAAAAATAAAGACAGGAAGTCCGCAATGTCGCAAACGGGGACAAGCGGTCTATTAGTTTCGCCGTCAATATAAGTACTAGTCATAACAGATTGAAGAGAGCTATTGTGCTGAGGACTCATGTTTAGTTGCTATGGTTAAGAATTTCTAGTCGCACAATTTAGAAAGTCCATTCAGCTTCAAAAATCATCCAGTTATAATCAGGGTTCGGTATCGCCAGAGAAGTTTCAGAAGTGTTTTAAAGTGGATCGTTTAATCATGTTCAAAACGAAGTCAGAGAAGTGAACAATTTTCTTTTTTATTTTCTCAGGCTCTCGTTTTTTCTTTTTTTTCCAAGAGATCAAACTAGAAAATATGCATTCAAAATATTATCTAGTTCACAAAAAACATTTAAAATTGATAATAGAGACTTTGCAACTTTTAAAATTATCAATCTAAAAATTCATGTTCATGTATCATTCATTCTTAGTGCACTGTTTTTGACAATCACGTCACTTCAATTCATTTTGCTCCCGGTTTTTTTTTTCTCTGCAAATTAGCAGGGCTTCTTGTCACTTTTGTCACGAAACGCTGCATTATTTAATTGTTGAAATAGGACTATTTTCTCCACAAACAGGCCTTTAGACCAAGTTTCCAGGTACTAGTTTATATCTAGTTCATATTCAATCCTATCAAGAATTGTAATAATCATAAAGTTAAATATCAGAGAAAGGAACTGATTACGTACTGTTGTGAACATTATCGTGATGTACATGGAATGTTGAAAGTATTTAACTGAAAAATGTTGTAATTTTGACCCTGCTTGCTGATCCTATTTCCCTTAAATTTTCGTGCCAAATTTTTTCTAGAAAAATGTCATGATTGACTTATTGATATTTAGATCCCCAGTTTTATTGATACCCTTTCCAAAATTTTTGTGATGTATACAGGAACCCTCTGTTGAAAGGACCACCAGACGAAATAAGAATTGAAGCATCAAAATCCATGGTCCCATCAGAAGTCAAAGCAGAACATATCAAACATGTTGGAAATTTCCAAAATAATTTCATGAGCTTTCATTGTTCGTGTTATTCATGTGGGTGATTGTTGTTGTACGTCTTTTAAGCAAGCTTGTACATACTGCATCAATTCAATGTGTGTGAACGTCATGTATAAAGAATACATTTGAATTATTCCTGAGACTGAATGAATTGTGTGAAGAATTCTGAAGGAACGGAATAATGAAAATTTAGAGAAGTGCACTGTATCAGACAATTTTTTTACTTTTCATTACAATCTGGATGTAATTATTACAGGTAGAACTTGGGGGCATTTTATTTATTAGGGAACAATCACAATCGGAAAACTTGCTCAGAAGTAGAAAAAATCTAACTCCAATAATAATATTCAATGGATTTTAGAATAGGCTCGCAACAATGTATGTTCCGATTGATTTGCAAAGTTGTTTACTCTCGTTGCTTGCAAATTTTGATCGTAGAATAATCTTCATAGAATGCTCAGTTCATAGTGCTGGAGGGAAAAAAAGCTCTCTGAGAACCTCCTCCGATTTTTTGTGTGACCAGTCAAAATTTAGTCACTGCAAGTTTTTTTTCCTCTTATCGTTGCGTTTATTTTTGGTTACTTGCGTCGTACTCGAGTCGGGATGTATACAACATCTGAATCTTTGTAAAAACCATCTAGAGGATGTATCCTTAGTCAGGGCAAAATAGGAAAGACAGAAATTTATTTAAAAAAGACAGTGAGTGTTATTTTCACCCAGGCAAGACCTGTGAATTTCAATGTTTTATTCTTCTGGGACGAACAATTCTGCTAAGCAGTCATTTGACTCATGCTTAGTCAAAAATTATCCTAATACAAACTTTTGATGTGAAATTTTTTTCCGGTTAATTCTGAGTTTTTAGTCAGGGAAAAACCTGTGTTTTTCAATATTTCTGTGATGTGTCTTTATTTTACTAAAGTTTGTTTGTTTCATGTATATTATTGTTTGTTTCATGTATATTATGTATATATCACATTCATTTCTCTATTTTAAGTACTTAGATGTTGCGGAGCACCATAGAGTGCTGTGGAAGGGGCTCTTATGTATGTAATTTTAAGCACTTTGTGGGCAAAAGTATCCTAAAGCATCTTTAAAAATCTTCGCTCTTTTTCCCAAAAAATTGTGAACACTAGTGGACAGAATTATTTCAATGCATCTTCGATGCATGAAAAAAGAGAAAAGTTTAAGAAGGTACCAGAACACAAATTTACACTGAATAACTTGGTTCTCTTCTAATAGAGTCCACATCAATGAGTTTATGCACTTTTAGACCGCGACAGGAGATCATGTGACGTCAGTTTAGCATTGAAAGCAAATGCAAGAATCAAGATGGTGGATCTTCTATCGCAGTTTAAAGGTACTTAAACTTATTTTTTGTGGACTCTATATCATACCAATCACCTTCTCTCTCTCCTAAGAATTTGACCAGTCACTCATTACGTTTTCCTCCTTGGGATCAATGGAGTAAGCAGCAAAGTATATACATAAAAATGAACAGAGAAGATGCATTGAAATAACATGAGAAATCTGTGCTAATGTTCTCAGAATTTGAATGATAACTATAAATTCCTGTTGCAGGTTCTTGGGTCATCTGATTCTCTTTAAACACGCACTTTATCCTGTGGTAGGATTTTAATAAATGGCTGTGATTAGATTAAGATGGATTTTTCGAAAAGTTGGATGAACAGTGCCCTGTGTTTTCTAATATTCTATTATAAGTCTATCATCTATTCTATTTTAGAGCTGTCATTATGCTATTGATTGTTTTTAATTTTACAGAAGAATTTTAGCACCCGGTAATTTGTGGTAGAGACTTCTACTGATGTCGAAAATGCTGAAATATTGAAAATGTATGGAAAACGGTAGAAATATTAAAGGAAACTGTAGATGCCCTGAATGAAGGGTTGCCAAATGTCTAGAGGGTAACTAAAGTTCTCCTGTAATGGATGAATCGCTTACTCTTAATATTTATTCTATTTGGACGCATTTTTGCAAAAGGAGTTTATCAGCATTGGAATATTTAAGAAAGAACATACGTATCTAAGGGATGATTGGACTTCGGGATTGAAGTTTGCAGGCTCGTTTGAGCTGAATTTGATGCTCAAGTATTGTTGTAAATGGAGGACTCAGCAAGCAAAAGACGTGAATCGGTGTGGAAAAGATGGAAGGTTTTTCTCAAGTTTTTACACAGATAGACTCTTGTTTTACCATAATACGGCTCGAAACAAGAATTGCGTAAGAAAAAAATGTGTATCAGTTAGATAGAGCTAAAAATTACTCGTTTAGAGTCTTGAGTAGTTTTCACATGTCCATTGCTTTTTCTGTCCTGGAGGAAAAGGTGGAAAGAGGGAAAAGAAAAAGATTAAGATCTTCCCTTTTTCTTCCTCTTCCTCCAATTTTGTGGATATCTCTTAACTGCCGTGCTAAAGAAAAACGCAGTATGAACATTCGAGAGTTGCCAAATTTCCTTCCATAAAATGTTTATTTTTTAGGAAAGTTATGAATATTTTTTCTTTAAATTTTCAGAATCTTTAGGCAAAATTGGGAACTAAATTATCCGAAAAATTGGGAGGAAAATATTTATAAATTTACCAAGAAATTCGCGTTTTATCCAAGGAAATTTGGCAACCCCTGAAGGTTCATAAGGCGTTTTTCCTTAGCACAGCAGTATACATCCAACACATGTTTCCAGTTCCAAATTGTCGCTCTTACTTTTTTTTTTTATTTTTTTTTATTTTTTTTTTATAACTACTCACGTCGGAATGCTACCTTTGTTTAAATGCGTCCATCTAATATTTTATCAAGGAAAATGCCTACTTAAGGTCTCAAAATTACCAGACCTTGAGTGACTTCTAATCGTCGATAAATATTTTTCCTAGAAGAGTACCTTCAAAGTTTTAAATTTCAATTTATTGCATCTGTTGACTTTTAAAAGACTTATCAATGCCAAAGTTATAAAAGAATTTCGTTAAAAAATTTATGTGAGGACTTCCTCAGTAAAAGGCGGCATGAGGCTGCAATGTTGCTAGGATTGTGCAATTATTCTTAGCATTTGCAGAAAATGAAATTCGTTTAAATTCGACTTACATTTACACAATAATGGGACAAAATTCGAAGCAGACACAGGGGAAAATTCATGGCAGAGCTTTTTGATAGGTTATTCGCACATAATTAAAGAACTACATTGCACATTCTTGGCACCATCAGAAGCCTCATATACTCTTATAAGGATTAAGTCCTCAATTCTTCCTTCACTTAAGTATCTCTTAACCCGGTGTATTTCTCTCACAACAGAAAAAATCAAAATCAATCCAAAGTGATTCTGTTTAATTTTTATTCAGAAAATACTTATCTTTAATCAGAATTAGGAAACCTCAAAGAACAGTACTTTAGATGCAGAAATTGCAGCGCTGAACACTGTTAAAATAATACATGTAACCTCAATTCTATTTCAGTAAATGCCAGAGACCGCCGACTTTCTGTGTGGCAAATAGGTTGGTAGCATCACTTGCGTCACGCGAGTTGAAGCTGTAGCTGACACTGAGGTACTTTTCGACTTTACTGAAGTCTTAGGCATTGACCATATCAATGACCAAAGTGCGAAATCACATATTTCCATTGCACTATTTCAAAATTCCCGCTCCTATTTTATTGTCTCAAGAAGAAACTAGCCATCTTCATAGCTTGAAGTAATTCACACAGAATATTCTACTGACAGAGAACAAAAAGTCAAGGAAGATGTCAAGAAATAACATTGACTAGTTTTCCAAAGAAAAAATAAAGTATGACAGGTCAACAACGTTGCAAACAAAGATATGTGGTTTCACACTTTAGCCATCTGTCCGACGGATTTTACCAGAATCACCATAACTGCATTTGACACTTCCTCTTTTCCTCTTAAGTTTTATTTTTATTAACAGAGAACCAAACCATTCAAAACCTCAAAAGTTTCTGTGAAATTTCTTTAGATTATGAGGGATACACTCACAAGATTTCAAATTAGAATTTTGATCAGTTTTCTGTTGAAAAAACAAAACATGAGAGGACAAAAAGCAACTGCTGATGTAGCAGTCTCGTTAAATTCGTCCGGTTAATTTCCAAAAAAATGTTGTTTAATTTATTTTTTAGAAGTATATGATTGTTGGCGCAGTTTATATTTCAGTTATATATGTCTTTGTTAAAACTTTGTGCGTGATCATTGAAAGAATAAACCACTGTATTTTTCTTTACCAGTTGCATACTATTTTTCCTCCTCATATCGAGTTGTTTAAGATATATCTTAATATTCTCGTTTGAACAAGATGTTTCCTTGAACGGTGGGAGTTTATTTTTCCACTGAATCAAATTTTCTGCTCTCTTACCTCATGGTGGATATACAGTTGGAATAAAGTCCCTTATCTTTTAGACTTTCAGAGATTCAAATTTCGAGACAAAATAATTTCTGAAACTTAACTCATTTATCATTTTTTAAGGTAGTGTCAGTTTTTTCGTTACCAAGAGCTTCCTAATTGCAATTCAATATTCTTCTTATTTTTTACAAAAAACATCTCAGAGTACCCACCCTCAGGTACTTATTTTCTTTTCTTCAATCAGATTATTGTCAAATTATAATAAGGATCACTTTCTTGTGGAAGTTAAAGAGAGTCTATGGCTAACAAGTCAATGCATTTAAGTAAAAAGTGTGATTGAAGACCTGGAGTCTTCATTTTAGTGTTCGAAGAATAGGTTCCCTAAGTACAAAAATCAAAATTTGATGCTCTGCTTCACCCAATAAATGGATAAACTTATTTAGCGTACACTCCAAGTCGAGGTAAACCGGTGATACTAGATTTTAAAAATTTTCGAATTTTTTTTTTTTTTTTTGTTCATATCTGCTCTTTAACTTAGGAAGTGAGTTGGTACAATTAAGTTGAGCATCCAATGTTTTTTTTTTTTTACTTGATGGACCAAAACACGAATAGAAAAATTGAAAGCACACGCTTACATGGAAAATCTAATTGATTGTGAATACTGAATTTCTATGTTTTACTGTTTTTCAAAAGAAAAGAAGGTAAATTGGAAAATTTTACCGAACGATGATGCCATGAAGGGAGGGGAGGGGGGGCTTAGATTAATTTTGTGAAATTTGCTGACTGTCAGAACGTTTTCACAAATTCATGCTCCTGAAAAGTGTCGCTGGTGGCGCAGAAGATGAGGAAGAATCTTTACGTTCTTTTTTAACGATTCCATTAATTTTCGGAAAATTCACAACCCCCTAAACACATCCTTAAGTCAGAAGGCGGGAGGGGATGGGAGGGTAAAGCGGGCGACACAGCGCGCGGGAAATGGCCGATACGAACTCATGCACGCACGATATCATTATCACTCTGTTATCCCAGGAGCGCGCTTGATCGAGTTATCTAATGAATGAAAAGCGTTGAATTTTAAATTTTGCGTAACGTTCATTTCTAACAGTCCGAGGAAATTTTTTTTTCCGCATGCTGTTTTGCCGCTGGGACACTAGCGCGCTCTAACCCCCACTTTAAGATTTGAATTTTCGTTTTATGATGGTGGCGCTGCTATCGTATCGTAAGTTCGTAACGAGTTTCCGTCCTGTTCCGAGAGCGCCCATGATCGAGTTCCGAGATCAACTCGTGAATTTTTTCGTGACATCTTTTAACAATCCTTTTCATCCCCATAAACAAGTAAACCGTGCTCTCGCGCAGTTAATTTCGGAGTGATAACCCAGTGCATCAGCATCAGAATGTAACTGTGTCTCTTTTCATACCAGTTTTTTTTGTCCCAACCTCGTACCCTTTCTCTCCGTGCGAAGTTGTTTGGAGTGTGAAATCTCCCGAGGTTCTGTAACCATGCCGCTATTTTAATATTATCGACGTTTCTGTGATCGTTTTCTAAATTATATGTGCTTTCCAATTTGTTTCTAAAATGGAGGATTTACATCTCATCAAATCCGGGACGAGCGTAGACATAAGAAGAACAGATGGTGAGTCGTGTTGCTTCACTCTCATCCTCCTCATAACGGTTATCTGCCGATTTTCGGTGGATATTTTCTTCACGTTCTTGGCGTCGTTATCACTGCCGTTATCGCTATTATTATTTTTTAAATTCATCTCGTCGGCAATCGTAAAGGAACAGCGGGATCTCGCATGGTAGCTGAGATAATAACAGTCGAAATTGCTGATGGCCCTCTGGCAAAAACTAGATTGAACCTAAAAGAGAAAGTAGAAAACATCTTCGCAGCTCGACTATTTGAGTTGGACCTGAATATGATAATAGTTGCTTCTTTAAAAGGAGATGTGTATGTTCCTTAGTTTGAGTATTCAAACATGTGAATCAACCCTGGCCCAATAAGTTTTAGGCTAATCTTGAGATCGAGTTAGGAATGCTATCTAGGGTAGGTGTGAGGTTAGCTCACCGCTAGCTTATCATCGGTTTGGCTGCTTCTCTGCTAACCTGTCAAAATGCAAGCAAGGAACACATTATTTGTGTAGCCATACATTTTGAATAATGAAAGCAGTAACCCAAATTTTCCATTGTTAACTTAATCAGCATGAAAACACCAAGTACTCGTGTAAGAATAACGCCTCTCATTGCAATAGAATACCAATGAACAGAAAATGATGCTTAAATCAACCGACAGCTGATAATAGAAAGTATTGAAGGATATTTGAAAGAACTTGAAGAGGTCCCCTCTCTGTTAGCATCGTTTTTGGATTGTTTTATCCCGATCTTCACTGTATCTCAAGTATTGAAGTTTCTTTTTGCTGGCAGAATGTACACATGGTGCCACCATCTCTTATTACAATTTAACCTTTGTTCTAATAAATGTGTTTCCTGTTTGCTCTCTTTATAAATTAGCCTCTTTACATGTAATTGAAAGGCTAAATTAAAAAGATAGGGTCGGGCCTCTATATCGCGTCGACCCCCTCTGGAAGTTAAAGCTCTATGAACTCCTGCGGTTGGTAGTACACTCCCGACCGCCCCCACGCTATTCTAACGCTACAACGGTCGCCGATTGGCCAAAAGCCAGATTGCACCCTACTCAAACCAACAACCAACATTACGGTGGTCAAATTGCTTCATCTTAGTCTCCCTTCTGCACCATACATTATTTGTCAGAAAAATTTCCAAGCCCTTTCATTCAAATCAAGAGTTTTATAAAAGGGAAGCTCTCCCATAAAGTAAGTAGGTAGGTAACCAAATACCAAGTGATGAATTTTCAAGACAGCCTTTTGTGTCTGTTTATATCATTACTTTAATTTTCAAAAGCCCAGAAATGTATAGTAACTCGAGTTAATTTTTAATTTTTTTTTTTTAATACCAATTTCAAGTAGCCTATCGGCTAATCCCACGCTTGTTACCCCAGAGTGATGTTTGAAGTGTTCTCTGTTGAATTTTTTTGATAGGAACTGAGTTGATATGATCTATCAGTAGCTAAGTATCAGAATGCTAAATGTATGAATGCTCATTTCCAAGTGCCACCTCCATGGTTTGTTATGCTCTGAGTGAGGACTGAAGACATAACCAGGAAACAATCATTTTCTCTGATCCCAGAATTCTTAGGAAAGTACCTATCAGCAGGTTCAGATCTTTAATGATCCCTAGATTCCAGTTTGAACCAGTTTGATTCAGTGAATACCTGTCTTAACCAGTCTTCATTTCATTGAGCTCCGAGAAATAGACCTGAGTTTTTCACTTAAGTCATCCTGAAGTACACTCAGGTCCTTCCTTGTAGGTCTTTTAGGTTGCACCTATTGCGGCTCTGTAGACACACTAGAATTTGTGATTTCAACAAGCTCCACTCTAATATGGACAGAATATATTTAAGTAAATACCTAAGTAGGTATTGCAGAAATTATTTAAGTAATTTCTCAATTTTCTTAGAAATTTTGGAGAGTGCTGAGGGAGAGAATTCAATAATGCTAGGATCCTCATCAGAATTCCCTGAGTACTGACAGTGAGATCCTACCTGTGAACGAAAATAAGATAGGATATAACATCAAAGCATAGGTAATCATCCCCAATTACGTCAGATTCCATAATTTAAGTTCTGTAGCCGTTGCATGAAGCCCCTGTTGGATGATGTTATTCACCCGTTCCACTCAGAATCAGTCTGAAAGGGACTAAAAGTAAATTTTGCATAAAACAATAGTCATAGTGAAACTTGTATCTACTTGACAGCAGGATGAAAGTCTGTCTGAAATATTTTCTCAATATGTAAAGCACCATCGTTCAAAACTCAACTCTCAGAGATTGCAGGTAAACCTGGCAGGAGGCTGGTCACAATCTGAACATGCTAAAAATTATCCAGTTTTCCAAGATGTTTGAAAAGGGAAGTTGAAATGAGTGAACTTGCTCGTGAGGCAGGAAGAGAATTATGGTTTTGGTCAGGTTACTCTCATCGGTGACCAGGCTTTCATTTGATAATTTGAATGATGTAAATTTTAGGGATTGAGGGGTTTTAGGGGCGATTTTGGGGGTGTGCTTCCCGGTTTCGTTTCATATTTTCAGTCGAAAAAAATCTATATTGAGAAATTTCTTTATTTCGTTAGAAACCTAAAAGTAGGTACGCTTGGAGCCAGAAACTTACGTAAGTCGTGCTGATTTATTTACTTTTGTAGCTCAAGGCAAGGCGTTCTTTTGAAGAAATATGCGGAATAAGGGAATTTTTTCGATTTAGAGCTTAATTTTTTTCTCTTTTTCTTCTTCTTCTTTTATATCGAAGAAAAGAGATTTTTCGTGTTATTTTCAATTGATAAAATGAGAATAAAAGGCAAAGCACGCTCCTTTACTAAAATTTATCGCCCAATGCACAATTCGTCGCCCGGCTGACAAAAAGACGCAACTCAACACTGAAATGAGCCCGGAAAAGCATTGAATTGTACGAGCAACAGGGCTCATTGCAAAATGTAGTTACGCCCTTGCCCGATTAGCTTCACAGGCAATCGTGCGAGTTTTTAGCAAAATACCCTATTTTTCGGTGAAATGTGCGATTTGTCTCACTTCATTTTCAGCATGGAGAAAAAAAGTCATTCCCTAAAAAATTACCTCACAAACGAAGATTTACTTCGCGTACGAGAAACCCAACAGTTAGTCCATCATTTTCTCCCATGGTCAATAAGAATCACACATTTTAACTGCCGTGCCAAGGGAAAACGCCGTACGGACCTTCAGACGTTGCCAAATCTCCTTTAGTTGATAAAACACGAATTTCATGGTAAACTCATGCATATTTTTCCTCCAATTTCCAATTTTGCTTGCAATTTGCTTTGCTTTTTTTTGCTTGCTTCCAATTTTGTTTGCAATTCCACCTAAAGTCCCTGAAAATTTCAAGGAAAAATATTCATATCTTTCCTCCAAAATATACATTTTATTGAAGGAAATTCCGCAACTCTCGAATCTTCATACGGCGTTCTTCCTTAGCACGGCAGAATAGGATCGCTCCATACCCCTTTGTCTTTTTTGTCTATAGCCTTTTCTATCAATGGAGTTGTTGCATGTGTGAGGAATTTGCGATATGATCGCGCCAACACAGTACGGAGTACAGTCGGCGTGGAATGCATATCAGCGCCTACTAGGCTGTGGGAATACTTCACGCATTGCGCCAAACACAGTACGCCAGTGCGCTCGACATGAATCGCATATTAGCGCCTACAAGACTGCCTGAATACTTCACGCATTGCGCGTGCGCCACGGTGCACATTTCAATCGTTGAATATTCGTATTTTCTCGGTGTTAGACCTACCGCCCGCTATGTACACAATTTCCGACCAGTGTTCACCGCGAGCCTGCCGTCCCAGAATCCAAGGATCGCTGAGATTTTGCATTCCTAAATAGTACCTTAGTTTACAGGAACTGATAATTTAGTCTGCTTGATAGAGTCTGCTAGATTGATAGGGCGAGGTCTCTGAGAGATATTGTCTCTGTTCTAGATGGCAACGTCTGAATGCAATTGTTCGCGCTCAATGCATGTCCGTTTCGCAAACACGAAAATTTTAGACACACTCACTTCTTTTGTTGTCCGCTGAAGAAGTTGCTGATCAAATATTTGTTGCGCATAATATTTCAAACTATCAGAGGCACGGAACGAAAAATTATGCCGAATTCAACGGATGTGTTTCCCTCGTTGAAAAAAAAAAACATGTGGTGGGAAACACATAACGCCGCCAATGGAGATGTTGCATGTGTGAGGAATTTGCGATTTGAGAGTCGATTCCATTGTAAAAGTTCGCGAGGAACACGATGGTGCCACAGGTTTTCTCTGAGAAATCAACTCCCAAGCTCAAAAAAAGCTCTCGAGTTGAGGTCAAAATGGAGGGGATATCCCACGCTGTCCTGAGAGTCCACCTCTACATCAAGACAAACTCTCCATGCAAAGATAGGGAGCAAATGCATTGACAGGGCTGCCTTTTTATTTGGGGTCTCTAAAACTGAAAACACGGCAACGCTGTCAATGTATTTGCTTCCTATCTTTGCATGGAGAGTTTGTCTTGATATAGAGGTGGACTCTCAGGATAGCGTGGGATATCCCCTCCATTTTGGTCTCAACTTGAGAGCTTTTTTTGAGCTTGGGAGTTGATTTCAGAGAAAACCAATGGCACCATCATGTTTCTCGCGACTTTTTACATAATAATCAACAGTCAAATCGCAAATTCCTCACACATGCAACATCTCCATTTCACTAATCAGCCCGCTGGGATAGTCCCACAGGGCGTCGTTCTTTTGCCCACGAGTGTGGCGTCCCGCGATCTGCCCCGGTCGGAATGCGGCTAAAAGGTGAGACGAAGGGGTGGCGGGCCGGGGGTGGGGGCGGTGAAATTTCAGGAAGTCCGGAGCGTGCGGCCAAGTTGGCACGCCGTGGCGCCTCGCGTCGCGATGCTCCGCGGTCGTTGCCGCGCGCGTCGGGCGTCGCGACGCCCCGGGCGGGGGCATCGCATCGGACAGAAATCGCCGCGCCGCGCGGCCATCTTAAAACACGCCTCC